AATTGTTTGTGTGTATTAGAGATAGTTTTTGAAATGACATGGTAAGAAAGCACAGAGAGAAAAAGATGCAAAACTTTTGAAAGTTGTTTGTGTTCTTCCTTGTTTAGGTATCAGAATCTTCGAGAATCAAAGAAGACCTGGTGATCATTAAAGAGGTTACTGTACTTTCTTGAGACTTCCTTGAAACCTTGATCCCTTCCCCTAGGTACATATTTTGCATCTTTTATCATAAACAGTTTTCTTCTCTCGGAGTGCGTAACAATTTTCAATGATCATTTCTATTTTTAGCCTCATTGCACCCCAAACATGTCATTCTCCCCTCTATTCCTTTTTTTGTTCTCTCCATCAATTTTATAGGTGACAGTAGCAATGTAGTATTTCTGTTGGTTAGTCACGAGTCGACTTATCTTCTTCAACATTCCACTACCTCCCTGTATACAGCATCTACGATTTTTCTGTCTTCATTTTTCATTGAGTAGAAGTGAAGACGCGAAAAATCAAAGAAACGGAAGAAAATCATCATTCTTTTGTTCTTCTGACCCTAGCCTTTGCCTATCTTCAAAGATTGTCAAAGTAGTAATGATAAGACATTGGAAGTTCACTTAACCACTTACAAAGTAACACACGGAACAACAAAACTGGTTTTTTAAACATCATATAAAGATTGTTGTACTTCTTTCCGTATTGGTAGCCACTTTTAAAGATCCGAAGAGGATTATGAGAGATGTAATGCCCGCAAAGCTTTGGGAAATGTCACCTAGGAAAGTGTGTATGCTTAATTTAATCCGTCTGCATTTACTTCTGGATATTTTCTATTTAGAAGTGGAATTGTTATAAACCACAGCTGTCGTTGGCTCAATTTACAGAATCGGTCACAGAATCGGTTACATACCTAGATTGAAAACTTTGCATTCACAGACTTTTTTAAAATTTTCTAGTTTTTCAGCTATTGGCCAATTTCTGAAAGACACTGTTTTTCCGCCTGTTTTTGTATTGAAAACGTAAAAAATCAAGTGCCTTTGGAAAATCGGCATATAGCTAAAAACTGGGGATTCCAAAAAAAATTCTGTAAATGCATTGTTTTTAATCTTAGTCTATTTTACAACCTCCACAGTTTTCAAAGTGATCTGACAATTGACAGCTGAGCTCCACAATCCTGAAAATTCCAGAAATCCACTACAAATTACATTTTCGTATATTTTATCGGCTGGTACAGTATATAACAAGAGTTAGATCGAAAAAAAATCGAAAAGATCGGAGAAGCCAGACAAGTCTGTTTGCAATGAGTGCACTTAACTTGCATTTTTAAAAATCTTAGAGCAAACATACTTTCTCTCTCTCTCTCTCTCTCTCTCTTTTAATTTCACCAAATCAATTTTCTTAGTTAAATGTTTTCTCTGACAAATCTTTTCTAACAGGATTTCCATTTAATCTCAGCCGAGATCAAACTGTGACTTAATCTTCTTAGGATACTGTATTGAACTAATGATCTGACCTTTTTCGGACCTTGCAAGAAAGGCATCAAAGATCAAAGATAAAAGCAGCGTGGAATACGCGAGATAAGAGAAAGATGCAAATCTCGCACCGGTGTAGGAGGCCGTTGCACCCGTCCGTTCTCTTCGGGGGGTATCCTCCTCCTCTTAACCTTTTTCTTCTCCGTCCATTCGCTTTGGGTTCCCGCATGATTTTCAAGGAAACCCGGACGCAACGGGGTTAGTGTTGTTGCCTTCCCATCCCGTCCCGTCAGGCTTTCCCGCACTCTCACTAAATACTGGACGATTCGTAAAAGAGCGAAAGACAGCAAGAGACCGAGAGGGCCTCGGGCGTTATTTGAGAGAGAAAAAGAAGGGAAACCGACGGGGGCCCTTTTCCGCGGTGTATGGTGTCGTTTCGAGTGGCTGCGTCTCGGCTCTATCGTTCTGCGTCACCCTCCGTTATGTGTGTCCTTGGTTTACTGCCTAGTCGGTTCTCTTGCTCCCAACTTTTCACGTCCCGATGGGCTCCGCGGCTTTCCCTGCACCCATTGTGTGCTCATGACTTGTATTTTGACGATCGGTGTTTTTTCTCTCATCTTTTAGTTTTTTTTTCCAGAAGTGCTGCTAACCGGTTTCCGAACTTGACATGATAGTCGTTTGTATTCATTAATCACTGATAGCTTATTCGAACCGTGCATATTGTCTCTCCGAAATTTTTCAGATTAGCTCCGCCCCATTTGTCTAGGTTCTTTTTAATAAAATCGCTTATTGTTCTGTTAGCTTGAAAAGTTTATTAATAAGATTGCTACTATTTTTGGGTGTTCCTATGAATTCCGAAAATCTTTTTTCAAATTAGTACTCATTCATTTATCTAATTTCTCTTATTTTCCTCGAAAACAGTTTTCCCACCGTTCCTTTTTTGCACTACGATCAATTATGAACTTACACACCTTTCTAACCGTTAAGGGTCATATGGTACCCAGTATGCACTTACATCTGCGTATGTGTGCTGAAGGGTGACCCTTGTTGAGCGTTGAAATCTTTACGAGGGGACGGTTTCTGGTGCGCAATGCCCTCGTAACCGTTTTTTATTGTAGTAAAGTTAATAGGTAGATAGATAAGATACGCTCAGACGTCTGCCAGATGTGCATAACGTCCTTTTGTTGCCATTAGGGTTTTTCTGAACCTATAATGCACCTGTCACATTGTCCTTTTTGCCAAATTACATGTTTCCTCTTGCCACCAGGTTTCTTAATAATCAATTTCAAATTAATCCTTTTTTGGCTCCACTTATGTAAATTACCGACCAAAAATTTTATTGACTTTTGGCATTTTTAGGAGTTTGGAGTTCGGTTGTCAAGTTTCCAATTATTTTGAAAATGTCGAAGAGCGTAAAACAGACCTCAATTAAAAACTTAGCATTTATACTTTTTTTTTGAAATATCCTAGTTTGTGCTGATTTCTGAAAAACACTTTCTTCCGTTTCCAATACAAAAGCAGACAAAAATGGGTTTGTCGAAAATCTGCAAAAAGCTGAAAAAGAAGGACATTTCAAGAGTACTGTAATATAAAGTTTTCAAGCTAGATCTGTTTTCTACCCTCCAGAAAAATTTCAAAGTGATCCGAAATTTGTAAGCCAAGCTCGAGTCTCTGGGAAATGGTCAAAGCTGCCGAAATTCAACTAGAAAATAAGTTTTTGTATATCTTATCGACTAGATCCTATTGATTTCTGAAACTGTCCTACTCAATAGCTCAATTTTCGAAAGCACCACATAATATTTCTTAGACTTCTAGTATCAAGACTTTTGTCACCTTCAATGAGGAACAAATAATTCATGAGTCTTCTCACTCTTAAGTCTCGACGACACTTTTTAAAGAGCTGTGAAAAGCATTGAATCCTTTTTTTTGCAAGATATATTATTCCATTTCCAAGGATTTATAAAAAACAAAAATTAAAAAGGGTTCAAAAGCTTATACCACCATGCTTCCACTTTTTCTTATGACCTACTGATGGCAACACTCGTTTCATTCATTCACCTCTTATCATTTGACTTGTTGACACTGGAAAATTCAACCTCACATTCACTTCTCTCATCAACTCATCATCGTCATTTCAGGAATTTCGAGTGAATTCTTTGGAAGCAACACACACACGCCCGAAACTCTCAACGTCTTCGTCTGGTTTGTGCAGTGAGCTGTTAATTTTAACGCTTACGAAACTGGAGCCCCACTACGACCAGTACTACGACCCTTCATACGACAGCCATCTGTATGTAAGTTGTGTTGTTTTAATTTTCAGTATTGTGTTGTGAAACCCTCTAGAAAATTCTACGGTAGGAATCCAGATTCTGACAATCAGTCTTCAGAACGGGCCCAGAAGGGCCCAGCCATAATTTTTTAGGATCAATATTGTTTGACCAATTGAATCAGATATGATAATACTCAATAAGTACTACAGAATGACAAACTCACAATCTGACAAACTGTATCTTGCCTGTGAACATGCAAAACTCGCAGAAAAAGGGCCGGCCTGGATCAGAAGGTTTATAGATTCTAACCGTGTTCGTAGACAAGGTACTGTGTTCCCAGTAACATGATTTTGTAGTACTCGTTGAGTTATATTATGTATGTTTTAGTATGTTAAAAAATTGTTCCTAAAAGAAACTATGGCCAGCAAAAGAGCAAATGTTGGAATCATAGATCAGTTCTTTTCGATTTTTAATATTTCGCATTTAGAAATGCTAAGTTTCTAGGAAAAATTTTTAAAGAGCACCTCAAACCTTGTGTTTTAAGACTAGAAGATGTCAAGTAATAACCAGTTCTTACTTTCCAAAATCTAACTCCTCCTTTTTCTCTATTTTCTCCTCCCACACTTCCAAAGATCACTCTATTTGGACTCAAAACGGCCTCTAGTGCACCTCATTCTTTCCAGCAAACTGTTTGGGCCATGGCAACATTCCCCAATGTGTACATAACCCCGCGTGCTACAGGAGGGTTGTGTATATAAAAAAAACGGTTTTAACGCAAAATTTTTTGTCTCTTTTCTATCTTTATCTACGGCTTTTTTTCTTTTTTCTCTCTCTCACACACCTCTCAGCGTACGCATTTATCAGACAGTCAGCATCAGCAACCCAGCCACCCCAGAAACGACGTTTTCCACCACCTTTAAAAGTTGCCCTGTCGGCCCGTGTACCCCGCCGCAAAAATAGTGTAGTTTGGGAGGAGGCGGAAGAGTTTGGTCTTTCCGTTCTCTACACAATAGATACGTATCGTCATCTTTAAAAGAGACGATCTTCTTTCTCTGAGTCTCTCATCCTTTTCAGTGCTTATTATATTCCTTTTTTTCGTCATACGCTGCTTCACCATATTTGTTATCTAGGGATAGATGTCTCATGCAGTAGTACAAAATATCTAACAGTTCCATATTATTATTTGCTTTGATCCCCACCGACCCTAATGCCCCTGATTGATCCTATCCAGAAAAAAACCAAGTATCAATTTCAGCATCACAGTGTGGCACCCGACATGTATAACACTAGGAGATCCGCCTACTTGAACTCATGCAGTACCGCTATGGAGCTGGCGCCGCAGAGCATGCATCAGAATTGGCGAGGTTGGTTTTTTTGTCACTTTACTATACTCATGTGTACAGTATCGGTTAATAGGCTTTACAAAAACGTATTTTTCAATTAATTTTTGGCATTTGTCAGAGTCTGGAGTTGTTCAGTTTTAGAGGACTTGGAAAATTTTGGAGGGTGTGAAACACTCCCAAGTTAAAGACCTGGCATTCACAGAAGTTTTCGGTAATTTCTAGTATTTTAGCTGCACGTCGATTTCTAAAAGACACCCTTTTTGCCTCGTTGTTTCACTGAAAATGTGAAAAAAACAAGTGTCTTGCAGAAATTGGTAAATAACATCAAAGCGTTCGGAGACATGAGAGTCGAGTACCAGATTTCTGAAAATGATCAACATTCACTGAAAAATACATTTTAGTATATCTTATTGACTGTGCTGTGTTGCAAAAGTCTATTTGATCAGTGCAGATGAACTAAAACATATTTTCACAAACCAACAATATTTATTTCAGACACGGAGTACAATAACACAAATGGTGGAAATAATGAACTTGATTTGTCAGACATGCCTATGTTTGGCAACGACAAGGATGATCGTGAGTGTCCTTTTTGTTTTTCATTTCAGTACAAACTTTGTTTTCAGCCTTCTACGACGACAATGGAGGAAGTGGAAGTGGTGAAGAGCAAAGTACAGTAAAAGAGAAAGGCGGGAACAAGAAATCGACCCGGAAACGAGCCAATACCACATCCAGCAATGGTGGAAATGAGAAAACGGAGAGCAAGAGAACGGCGAACAAGGTAGATTTACTTTCCGGAAAAATTTTAATTCTTTTCTTTTAATTGGTAAAGATCTTTCCCAAATAACCATTTTCAAGGTGTGCCGAGTATGCGGCGACAAAGCGTTCAGCTACAATTTCAATGTGATCACCTGCGAGTCGTGTAAAGCGTTCTTTCGGCGCAACGCCAACAAAGAGAAAGAGATTCGGTGTCCGTTCAACGAGCAGTGCGAGATCAACATGGTTTCGCGCCGGTTTTGTCAACGATGCCGGCTCACCAAGTGTTTTTCAGTGAGTAGGGATGTTCCGTAAACAAAATAAAACCGATTTTTTAGGTTGGAATGAAGAAAGAGTGGATCATGTCGGAGGAGGCACGTCTAGAGAAGAAGCAAAGAGTCGAGGAGAATCGAGAAAAGAGAATGCTGGTAAAACTTGGAAACCTTCACATTGTAACTACAGCAACGGTCAATAGGATGTTATAAACGTATTTGGCTACTTTGTCATTTTTCATGAGTCTAAAGCTCGGCGGTCAGGTTTTCGATCACTCTGAAAACTCTGGAGGGTCTGAAACAGACCTAGACTGTAAACTTTGCATTTTCAGCATGTTTCGAAAGTACCAAATTTTTCAACAATTCGCCGGTTTCCGAAAGACACTCTATTTTTGACTCGTTTTTAAACTAAAACGCAAAAAACGGATGTCTTTTAAAAAAGACAAAAAACTGAAAAAGTAGGGATTTTCGAAAAATTCTGTGAATGCAAAGTATTCAATATAGGTTTGTTTTACACCCTACAAATTTTTCAAAGTGATCGAAAACTCGACAGTTGAACTCCAGGCCCTTGAAAAGTAGAAATAGCCAAAAATAAACTGAAAAATACATCTTATTGACCGGTACCGTACGCGTTATCGAAAACGCTGTTGAAACTTTAAAATAAAAACATTTAGGATGCAATCAAAAACGAGAATGAAAACTCACAAGGACAATCTCAACAGCAACAACACATGCAACAAGATGAGAATATGTACGACGACTCGCCAAACTCCAACGAAATGTCTGTTAGACAATTTTTGGCTAACGAGGAGAATATTCATATTCCTCCTCTGCCGCATAACATGGGAAATGATATGGGAATGCATTACTATCAAGATGGACCATCCGATATTGGATATAGCAATGATTAGTGAGTCGTTTTTTCTATGTTCATGCTCGGGCGTTATCGTCAACTTCTGGTTGGGGACATATTTTGGAGGGCACAACGTTTTAGGGCTAGAAAGTGATTTAGGGGTACAAACTTCAGATATTTACAGGTTTTTTGAACTCCTGAAATTTGGATGTTGTACCCCTAAGTCGCTAGGCACCCCATTGAACCCAAAATTGTTGTACCATCCAAATTATTTGCCAGGTTGGTCAGATTCCAGATTAGACCGTTACTCTAACAGCGACCAAACTCCAAAAAGTTTATGACGAGGTTCCGACTAAATTTTGACCATGACTATAGCTGTTTTCTGGACAAGATCCAACTAGAAACCGGTCAATATTCCTCTAAAAGCCAACCCCTGACCAGAAGTTACAAGCCGAAAGCCCAGCGATTCAGAAGCTTACCTTAGAACCTTACTATACACAAACTTTTTCAGCGACTACCCAATGAACCAATGCCCATCGTCTGGCAACAACCCGATGGACCTCATTGATAATTTCGGTAAGCCCCTTTTTAAAACTTTCTTTTCCTTTGAATTTTTGTCCAACCCGTTTTGTTGCCTGTCTAGGTGCTACTACTATTGCTGATAATGGTTCCTCACCACCTAACAAATCAGCAGTTGCCTCTGCTGCTGCGCCTCCTCAACTTCCCGCCCAACCAATGATGGATATGGAATCGAAACCGCTCGCTCCCAACGTCCTTTTCTCTGCTTCTATGTCTGCTATTAAGGATGTCGCAGGTGATTACCATTTTTTGTTAATTTTGATTTGCAGTCAGTTCTAAGAGACATGCTACATTTTTATTTGCTGTTTCTACTAACCATGTAATTCAGCTATCATGTCCAACGGCGAATCCAACAATTTAGGAATGGTCCCAACAGACGTCGTCAACGAGAATTTGCTGAATGTAGCTCAAGCGGCTGTTCAAGCTCAAGCCATTGTCAACCATACCCAACAGGTGAACCTTCCCAACTTTTCTTAATATTCATAATCAAAATTTCAGCTCGCCGCAGCAGTGGTCGCTCAACAAGTTGCTGCTATCGCTCCAGTTATCCCAACTGTATCCCCATTGGACCCCCTTTTGACGCCCGCTCTAATATCCGCTCCAGCAATCGCTACTCCATTGGCACCTGCCATAACCGCCCCCATCAACGCGCCAATTACCGCTGCTCTCGCCGCGCCAATTGTCCCACCTATGCAAGTCCCAACGCTTCCTACTCCTATGAACCCAGGCATCCCCATCATCCCAAAAGAGATGCCAGTGAGCGTCAATCTTCTAAATCAACTTGAACAGACGCCATCTGAGATGGTAACTGTCCCTAAGGACGTGAGTTTATTCGAAATTCCAGATCGCAAAGTCCAACTTCATGCTGTTTCAGATGCTTATGAGGTTAATACAGAATAATTCGAGAACCCAAGCGTGTACATGTACTTGCATGTGTGGTCGTTATCCACCAGGTTCATGTATCGTGGATGAGGTGACAAAAGATCTGATGAACGGTGGAAGCTCAAATAGTAGCAATGCAACGGAAAGAGATCAAGCAAGTCTGGAAACAACAGAAGACATGCAGGTTTGTTAAGCTCATAAAAAGTTCAGAAATGAAAAGTTCAAATTTTCAGATGAACGGTTTGCTACCAGGAGATGCCAACTCTTCGATCACATGGCTTAGCCAACAATCTTCGGCTCAAAATGTGGTGGATCCTATAACCCACTCAATGTCAGCAGAGGAAGCTCATAACCAACGAGAGCGAAGAGATTCAATTTTTGGCGCTTACTCAATGGCTGAAACAGTTGAACCTTCCCAACCAAAGAGTGTCCAAGAAGAAACGTTCTGGGAGCACACGATTGCTGAAAACGAGTCGAGAGAACTGTCCGAGGAGGAAGTAGAAAAAATGGAAGAGCTAACTGAAATTTCAAATTGCTGGATGAGCGCTGGTTTGGACAATTTACCAATTTTGGAGTTATTCACTGAGAAAAATGTGTCCATTATTGTGAACGGGCTGAAACTTCTTTCTTCGTTCCGATTCTTGCCAAAACAAGACAAGAGAACAGTGATAAAGCGTAAGTGTTGGTAAAGATTTTGACCATATTCAGAAGACTGGAGTTCGGCTTTCGTGTTATAAATTACTTCGAAAATTTTGGAGGATATGAAACAGACCTAGATTAAAAGATTATATTAACAGAATTTTATGAAAATTCTTTGTTTCCAACTATTTTCCAATTTATAAAAGACACCCTCTTTTGGTCCATCTTCTAACTGAAAAGTTCTGTTTTACAACCTCCAAAATTTTTCAAGCTCCAGGCTTCTGAAAATGGTCGAAATCAACTGAAAAAACAATATTTTTTTTGATTCATTGACCGTTTCTGTAACTGTTAACTGGAATTTGATGCATCATTTTACAGGTGGAATTTTCCACTATTGTGTTGTCAAGTGGATGCAACACAAGGAAACAATGTTCTTGGAAAAACTGAATGACCGACAGAAAGACGATTTTATGGAGTGAGTGATTTTCGCTTTGTATTCTTAACTAAACTTTTTATTTTCAGCCTTATCAACCGAGAAGAGTTCAACTACAGAATCCAACCGGGAGCTTTCAATACTCTAGCAATCAGTGTTCTATTCCACAGTGGGGCTGCTAAGCCAATCTCCACTGAAGTGTATATGGAGCATTTGCTATTCAAGAAACTTCTTGACAAGTGAGTTCACATTGAAAATGAATATGACAAATTGGGGTTTTCAGAAATCTACCCATCAAAGTGTCCAGCAACACAGTATTCAACAGCTACTACCCAGCAATTGAAAAGGCTGCTGGTCATCTCATCAAACTCACTGGAGGCATTTCGGATCGACTCGTCCGTTACGCTGTTTCTTAAGCAATGAGCTCAAATTTTAACTTCTTAGAATTTTTCAAATTAGTCTCTCACCTAATACTCACTTCTGTTTATTTTGGTCACTTCATTCCGGTCAATCACAAGCAGTTTTTTCCTACGGTTTCAGAATACTATTTGTCTTTCTGAATCCCCACTTCACAAGTTACCTCTTAAGTACATCTATTTATCAATTTCCACGATTCGCGCCTGTTCATTGTTTAATTCCTTTTCGAAAAGAAGTTTATTATTATTATTTTCACATTATCACCCAAGTATTTTCTGTCCAATCTCTCCTAACAAAAATACCTTGTCGATTTACGAGTCACACCACTACAATTCTCCTCGAAACCTCTGAAAACGCTTCTCATATGCTGAAATCCATCCATCACCCCCCTTCGTCCCAGGTTTTCTTGTCATTTTTTGCCCAGTTTTGAACACACGATCGTGATGACTTTTATATGATATTCTAGTCCCCTTCTGGTCATTTCATGTTGCGATGCTTACAAAGTTTTGTCATTCATTTCTATGGTATGTATGATGTCCTATATTAGGACCGTTTTGTGTGTGTCACATTGACACGAGTGATATAGGATGTCACAATGTTACATTTTAAATGAAATTTCATGATTGATATGGTTTTTTTTGTAACGTTTACAGCAGATAATGTATTTTCTGCAACAGAATGGATAAGTTGCTTTAGACACAGATACTCGTTGAAAATATAAATCGTGAATAATCGAAAACATGAAATGTATAGTTTGAAGCTCAAAGATACCACCTAATAAGTGAGAAGTCTATGAAAAAGAAATCCAGCCAATTGCGATATATCTTAAATTTTCAGATATGTTTATTTGAAATGTAACTAAAAAACTCCACACCTCACCATTGAAACATTTTCAGACTACTACACTAACCTCAAAATTTCATCTAAATCCAACAGAGCCGAAATTTCATCATTTCCTGGGAAATTTGTGAAGCAGACCTAGATTGAAAACTTCGCATTTTCAGAAGTTTTGAAAATTTCTAGTTTTCCAGCTATCTGTCGTTTTATGTAAGACAGCCCTTTTTGCTCCTGATTTTAGTAGTTCTGAAAACTGTTTTCAGACCCCTGAAGTCAATATTCAACCTAAAATCGCAAAAAATTATAGTTTTTAGGACTGAATTGTAAACATACTCAAAATTTTGCAGAGAAAGGAAACACGATTACGTTTTTTTTTTAAAGTATGATGTCTAAAACATGCTACCGGTTTACCTTGGTCACAGTTGAAAGGTCAAGTTGTAGTCATTCAAAACAGAAAGTGACTCTGTTGTGGTTTCTGTGACATAAGTACTTCTTTCACTACCTACCTGGCTATTAATGTGGACGTTTTACCCTCTAACAAAAGGTTTCAATTTCAGAAAGTCAATTAGTTATCACGGGTTTCTCTTCTTTCAGCTTCTTTCTCGTTGGACACAAAAGCACTTGAACACGCGTCAAACAATACCCTTTTTGCCAGAATTTCAATTATTAACTGGAGTGAGGCAGTGACTAGAATGAGGCAAAAGAGAGATCAATAACACTTTTATCAATCTTTGGGAGTACGATCGAATAAAATGTATTATGTTCTGTACGACATGATTCAGAAGGCGCACACCCTATATAAGACTTCTCATTTTGCATATCACATCACCCATTCATGCCGCCTTTAGTGTCCCTCTCCACCTTCTTCCTAGCTATTTTAGCAGTGGTCGCCGATGAGAGCGAACCGAAAAATACGTCACTAACGCCGGAACTGATACAAGCTCGCGGATTTATGGTGAGCATTTTCAATTTTCTATAAGGGTTGCAGATGCACTAGTACTTATTCAAAACCATAGTTTATTTCCAATAGTTTGTAAGGAAGATTGTTTTAATTGATCATATATGGGTTCCGGTTCGAAAACCTGCCCGGTTTATATCCCTCCACATTATGTGTCCAGTCTAAATACCCACATTCATTGCAGCAAATCGACGAAATCACCGACGAGAAGTCATGTGTATCCTTTAAATTCTACATCACCCACGATTCGACTCAAAAATGTTTAAGACACAGGTTCATTGCTATTTAAATAATTTAAAATATATAAACTTGGTTTTAGCTGCAACGACAATACAGTATTGTCAGAATTTGACTGCAAACTTTGGAATCAGATTAAGAAAAATCCAGAGAAGACACAGGTTGACTTCAAAGAAATTTTCAAGAAGCATAACTAATTTTCAGATATGGAATAAATCCCAAACTCGCCGTGTTAGAAATCACGTTTCTACCTCAAAAGCTGCACCACCCAAAAACGATGGAGAATCGAAAGAATCTGTAACTCAACATTGAAAATCGCAAAACAAACCCAAAATTTTCTATTTCAGGTAATTGAGATCTACTCAATTCTTCCGGATACCTGCACCACTTACACCAAAATTAGAAGTGTCAAAGGAACCATTGAGTGTTGGAGGAAGTAGTTGGTCGCACTATTTCTTCGGTCTTTATAGACAATTTTTCAGCTGCAAAGATGCATTTTCTGTTCGTATAAAATGCAAACTTTTCGATGGCGTGAAACCAGCAAGTCGGCGTACTGTATTCAAGAAGCGTCGTCATCATGGAAAAATTTAAAAATTACAAACTTTCTGAATCATCATTTCTCGTCTGTATATAACCATTTTATCCTTCCATGTATCTCGTGTTATTCGTTGTCCGTTTTTTTTTTTGATTTTTTTTTTGAAAATGAAAATTGTCTTTACACATTTCGGAGGATAGAAAAGGACGCTTGTGATGGCTAGAGTTCTTTACATCTACAGTACCTGTCAATAAAATAGACAAAAATGTATTTTTCAGTTGATTTTAAAAATTTTACTTATTTGCAAGAAACTGGAGCTTGGCTGTAAAATTTCCGAACAAGTTGAAAATTTTGAAAAGTGTAAAACCGTCCTAGATTGAAAACTTTACATTCACAGAATTATTTGAAAGTTCCTAGTTTTTCAGCTATTTGCCAATTTTTAAAACCTTTGTGGCCCGCTTTTGTGCTGAAAAGGGGGAAAACCGAAATAAGAAAACAGTTGAAAAACTGAACTTAACAGCCAAGTTAGAAACTTCTCAACATGATCAAAATGACCGAAAATCAACTGAAAAATGTATTTTTTGCATATCTTAGTGACCGGTAGATACTTAATTTTTGTTATGAATTTGTTGGCTTTCAATTAATCTTATTTACTTCTGACATCAGCTGAGCTAGCTAGTAAGCATGACGCGATCTCCAACAAAGCTTCTGATCCTCCGAAACTCATGACTTTAAGAGCAACAATCTCCAATTTGAAGGGTCATCTCATTTTTGTTAATTTTGGAGTGAAAATTAGCTGTTTGAAAAGTATTTTGAATCAGGTTCTGTTTTCGTAGACCAAATTACATTTTGGAAACCCCATTTAAACTTTCCAACAAGATTCCGCTCCCGCTCAAGTAGGAAAACATTTTTGAACCATAATGCACGACCAACTTTACACGACATCATGAACTGCGAATGGCCAGCATCATGGCCAAACTCAAATTCGACTATTCCACTCATGAAGAATCACTGGAAAAAAAAGTTTGTAAAAAGGCAACCGCATCAAAGAATTTGAAAGAAATAATTTAAAAATTTATTTCCTGAATAATTGCTGAATTTTCTTGTTGAGACAGACACATTAAATATGTTAGCACATGTTTAGTGCACCCTGTAAAATATATAGTTCCTCCTGTTGCCACTTCCCATCTTCTCAGCATACAAAAAACGGTCTTCTGTCTCTCTCTCTTCCTTCCTTTCTTTGTTCCCCTGGCAAAAATTGGAAAATCGATAGCAATAAATGCGTTGGTTGTGTGTGCCGCTGGTCCGTCCATTTCTCACTGCCACAACTCTCAGTGTCGTAATGTCTTTTCTCTCCCGCACAACCTCTCCCTCTCTCCTCTTGTCATGCGGCCCTGCAAATCGTATTCAAAGACATACGCAATGTGTCGTACGCTCTTGCGCTTTGTAGGAAATAGTGTGCGCGCGCGAGAGACGTACAGGGACCGTATTCGCAGTGTTTGCACCCAAGGTCTCGTTTTCAAACCAACACCATCATAGATTTTTTGCCCAGTCTTCAATTTTCAACAGTTCTCTACAATACATAGTGGTCCGCGTTGCGGTCGCGCGGCGTACGAGTCAAAGTTTGAATTTTTCGTACTTCCCACATCATTGCCGAGGTCTATCGCTCCTAGATTTCGCCCTTTTTTCATTCCTTTCAACTTCATTTCTAAAATAACTACGTTGATATTTTTCTATTCATACATAAAAATAATTTTTCAGATAGTCATGGATCGATCAGCGAGTTCAAGTTGCGATCCGGGGACATCTAGGTAAATTTTAAAATTTAAAACATTTTTTTTCAATTTTCTTGTTTTCAGTGCCTCTTTCGAACCACTCATCCCATCAAAATATAAATATCGTACAGTTACAATAAACGGCGTGCAGCGCAAATTAGCGTACACGGATTCATCACAAAATACTCGCCAGGGCGAAGCTGACCCGAAAACCATCGAGCTGATTACTCGTTTCTTAACCAGTCAAGGACTCTCTTTGGAATGCGCTCGAGAGCCAGCTTTTATGAACTTGGTTCGATATTTGAGTCGAGATTGCCAGATCCCTTCTCTATTTGAGATGAAAACGTTTTTAACGAAGACAACGGAGTCAATGAAACAGAGACCAATCGTTCATTTTCAAAGAGGATGCGGACCGTTGGGATTGACAATTGATTATATTGGAACTGATCAGAAGTATTTGGTGTATTCGATCCATTGGTTCAAAGAAATATCCGAGCGGCAGAACATTGTCTATTTTCGGAGATTGAGTCTGGCTGAGTGAGTTTTTTAGTTTCATTTACAAATTTTTCGTGCAAGCGACATAGTAATAATTGTTTGTCGGCTTGGAACAAATGACCAGAGCTTTAGGACGGATATTAGCCAGGTTCTGTCAGGAAATTGAATTAAAACGGCTATGGCAGCGGGTCATGGCCAGATTTTATTCCGAAGTTAAATGTTGTTATACTACTAGGATCAGAGTCACTGTTCGAATCATCTTCAGAAAATTTGCGTTAAGCTAAAAACAGTCTTTGTCAGTTAGATCGTCATTTTTCAGTACAGGAAAAGGAGTTAATTTTCTTGTTGGTTGTTAGTATCCTCAGTTGATTTTGATAATTTTCCGGAGTCTGGAGCTCGGGTGTCGAGTTTTTGATCACTTTGAAAATTATGGTGGGTGTAAAACAGACCTAAAGCTAAGACTTTACATTCACTGAATTTTTTGAAAATTTTTTGATTTTCAGCTTTTCGCCTATTTCTAAAGGACGTTAGTCTTTTTCAAACTTTCAGTACAGAAACGGGCCGAGAAAAGGTGTCTTCCAGGAATTTGCAAGTAGCTGAAAATCTAGTAATTTACAAACAGTACTGTGAATGCGAAGTTTTGAATTTCGATTTTTTTTCTTCACCCTTAAATATTTTCAAAATTATCGAAAACTTGACATCCTAGCACCAGACTTTTGAGAATGGTCGAAATTAAAAAAAACGTTTTTGTATATCTTATCGGCCTATACTGTGAGCAGAACACAATTACCGTATTTCCTCTAATAGAAGCCCACCCTCTATAAAAAGCCCATGAGCTTCTATTAGAATGCGGTGGTTCAAAATTCCTGAAATTCTGGAACAGTAGTTTAATAACTCGACAATTTCGGTATTTCGGAATTTCAGATTTTTATAATATCAGGAATTTTTCCGGGATTTCAGAATTCCTGAATTTTGATTTTTGATATCCTGAAATCTCAGAATTTCATAAATTTGAAATTTTGGAATTTAGAATTGCAGAATGAACATTTCAAGTTTTCCAAAACACTGAATTTCAGAATTCTTAACTTCCGAATCGTCAAATTTCTGAATTTTTGAATCAGAAAGTTTTAGAAGATAGATAATTGAAAAATAGAAACCCACTTTCTAACCTCTAATAGAAGCCCACCCCGAGGAAAAGGTTGGAAAATAGAGGCTCTATTAAAGGAAATACGATATTTGGACGTAAATGAGCGGAAAAAAAAACCAGTATATGTCAAAAAAATGAGCAACTTATCAGCAATACACTAAAAATCCATTCTTTCAGTATCCAAGATTCCGGTAGTCTTCTCATCCCTCCTCGGGAATCCGTTGACAGTACCTCATTTGGGACAGTCAAGTTCAGCAGCATCGTCTTGCCCAACGAGGAAGCTTTCAAATTGGTCATTGACAGTAGAGTCGGCAAACGTTACTACATTTGTTTTCACTACCACATGACCTCGTTCGTCAAGCAACTGATGAACATTTATGAGTTTGGCAGAGGACTCACTCAATTGAAAGAGCTTGTTCGTTTTATCAGAGAACGTGTACAGTTTTATGCCATTTTCAGAAAGTGAGTTGAAACCCATAATGTTTATGGAAATAGTTCTTAATTTAGAATCAAAGTGGCTAGAAATATGAAACACGATGTTCCGGTAATCAAGAATGAGCAAAGCTGGGAAGAGACATTTCTGTTCTTGACTAATTGTTTAGCCATGGTGAGAAATTTTAGTGTTCAATAAAAATGGAGAAAACTTTCTGTTTTAGCATGATGTTTTCTACGATTACGCGGATGAAATTGGTTATCCAAACTACATATCTAACAGTACGTTCAACTATTTGATCTACTTTCAACGGTTGCTTCAACAATGTATCAATATCTGCAAAGAGCTCAGTCAGCCTGGAAATTCAATCTCTCAAGCGATTCCAAAAATCATTGATCTCAAAAACTACATTCTGAGCAGCAAAATGGGCTATCGATTTGAATATACTGTGCAGGAGCTGATGATGTCGGTGTTCCACAATATCACTCATGGATTATCACACTATATGTATGAGACGGCCTCTTTGTTTGATCCAAGATATGCTTACGGAAAAACCTTTTCTGAAGAGAAATGGTTAAACTTGGAAAAAAGAGTTGTGGACGAGTTTACCAGACTTGGAGAAAACAATTATAACAATATATATCCAAAGAACACTTGCGACCAACGTAGCAAATTCATTAAAGAAAACTTTGCGATTTTCCGTCAAATGTTGTCTCTTGGTGTAGACGCCGAAGAAGATCCGTTTCATTGGTGGGGCCAGCGTCATAAAGCGATGGAGACTTTATCTAATGTGGCGCGACAATACTTGGCAAGCCCTGCAACCTCGGTAAATGCTAGCACCTACTTTGGAAGTAATGGAAAGTTTGATCATATTTGCGAGAGCGTGACGTTTCAAGATTTGGATATTTATTTGAACAATGCCGGCGTTCAGCAGAGATATGTTGGGAAAGGAGCCTACGAAAAAGAAATTGCACCGGAGTTAGCTGAATCGTTGAGAATTACGGCATGCAGGATGCATCAGCACTATGAAACCAGCATGAAGGATACTCTTTATGTTCCTAGAACCAAACTACAAGACCCTCGACTTCTAGGCCAGGATTCAGCAAATGCGTTTGAATCGAAATCATCAACCCTTTCCAACAATAAACGTCCCGTTGCTCTTTTTCCAGTTCAATTGATTTCCAATCCAAATGCACAAAATCGATCAATGTCGCCTTATTCAAACGTTTCAACTCAGCTGAAGAAACCAACTCGTCCACTGGGCAACCAACCGGCGTTGTCTGCTGCCTTGTTCGGCTTGAAGACAAGCAACTCCAATCGTCCAGCTGGCGGAGCAGATCATCAGGTATCCAAAGAAACCAAATGTTTTTCGGAGGAACGGAAACCAATGGATCTTCTAGAGCAAATCACGAGTTTCGTTGAAATAGAAAAGGAAGTGAAGGAGGAAATAATCGAAGAGGATGAAATGCTGGCCGAATCCTTCGGGGAATCAGTTTTGCCTAGTCCATCCACTTCTGCGACGCCACAATTGAGGAGGGTATTCCATCGACCAACACATCAAGGACCATCAACATCAACGCCAGCACTGCTTCCTATTAAAAAGTTGATCAGAGTTTCTAATCCAGGTCCCAATGGTACCACGAGACAAGTTTCATCAAAAATTGGAACTGGAACCGCTTCCAAAACAGCTTCGCGAACTCCACCAATGAAATTTCCCGTTGCCTTGACAGGCAAGCCTTCTGGTCCTTTACACTTACCTTCAACGTCACAACATTGCCCAATCGAAGACAAACCAACCGATATCGCACTGACTAAGCCAGACACTCATAAGAGCGCGGGTCTCTTTGAAGTAAAAGACGAAATCGCAGAAGTTGCTGAAATGCTTGATGATACCGAAGGTCTTGGAAAAATTTACGATGAAGCGTTAGAATACAGTGCATCATTAAATATGCCAAAGTGAGTTGTGTAAATCTGAAACTTCTCAGTAATATATTTTTTCAAATTTCAGACAAAGGCACCGGGACATCCATAATAGTCGCCGTTGCTGTATATGTACTGGAGTGGAGAAAGACGAGCATTTGAAAAATGTCACCATGGATAACGAGAAATTGCTTCTCATCCTTGGATGCGTTTTCCGAAAAGAAATTTCAATGATAGATGCTCATGAATTCTTGACGCGACCTGCGAAGACTTACGTTTGCCACTTTCATTTCAAAGAAACAATTGATACACTCTACGATAGACTTCAAATAACGTGCCCGGATGATATTCACAAATGTTCCGCAGATATACTGGAGAAAACATTTAGGAGTATGCGTGAGCTACGTGCTCACACTACGTTCACACAATATATCAAGATTCTTCACGATTTCGCAGAAAGATACGATCATATGAGAAGACCATCAAAGGTAAATTCTAATTTTTTTTATAAAGCCAGCCAGAAAACTCATTTTCATACCCTAATAGATTAAAATAGCGCAAGATGTTTTGGACGCACTGTTTTCAGCTCTTACTGTTTTCTTCTCGGCAATCTACCTCTGTAACCAGAAAAACTACATTAACGGTCAATAAGATACAAAATTGTATTTTTCAATTGACTCTCTGCCTTTTTGATCATTTTAGAAGTCTCGACAGTCAAGTTTCTGATCATTTTCAAAACTTTGGGGGTTGGGAAACAAACCTGGATAGGAAGCTTTGCAGTGGCAGAATTTTTCGAAAATTCCTAGTTTTTTTAAAGCTATTCGTCAATTTCTGAAAAACACCATTTTTGCTCATTTTTGTACTGAAAACGTGAAAAAAGGAGGTGTCTTTCGGAAATTGGCAAAAATCTGAAAAACTAGGAATTTTCGGAAAATTATTTGAATGCAAAATTTTCAATCTATGTCTGTTTTACAGACTTCAAAGTTTTCAGAGTAATCTGAAACTTGACAGCCAAGCTTCAGGCTTTGAAAAATAGTCAAAATGGCCTAAAACCAACTGAAACATAAGATTTTGTATGTCTAAATGAAAGTACTGTACATTCCTCATCTTTTCATATTTCAGCAAGACCTTCTGGACTACTATACGACTCTCGTTGAACCATCCTCCGATGAACCCATAGTTGAAGCCGTCGAGGAAGAAATCAAGCCGAAAAAGCTCCGCCAACCAAGAAAACAAGTTCTCGAGATTGATCAACACGACAAAACTGTCAAAGTCATCGAAAAAGACGAGTTCCAACTTCCAAATGAAAAACAGGATACAACAGGGAATGAAGATATTGAATTCCCCGCAACGTGTCGCTACTGCTCAAAACAATACAGTCGTCTGTCCATGATTCCTGTTCCAAGAGGTACCGACATTCGGGCTCGATGGGTTGCAAAGCTTGGTCCAGAGTTTGAGAAGCGATTACAGCCAGATGAGAACTTTGTCTGCCGTGAACACTTTGCGCAGGAAGCTTTTGGCACGAGAGGGCGTCTTTCGAAAGGATCCATGCCTATGGCTGAAACTGAAAAAGTTGAAATAACCTACAAGATTCAAGGAAACGATTTCCTGAAACTCAATGAGGAGAAATCCGGAGAGAATATGACGGCTAGTATTGACTTGGAGAAAGTACAGAAAAAAACCAAAGTCGTCAAAAATGCTAAACGCAAAACGGAAAAGCCTTCAAATTCGAAGGATGATGATAGTTCTACAGATGAATCAACATCAAGACCTGAGAGAAATCGACGTGCCCCTAAAAGACTCACATCTCCTGAACCACCAAATGAGGAGCCCGCTATAATTTCTAAGAAACCTCGTCGGAGACAAACTAAGAATCCAGGAATGGCTTGGGAATTCACTGGTGGGGTTGTTCCTTCGTCTTCATACCATCCAGAACAGTGAGTGAGATATTTTGAGTATCTGAAAATTCATTTAATCATTTTCAGATTGAATTCTCTTGTCTAAATCAACAACCGGCAGTTTATTCGGATCATTTATTGTCATTTCTCGTACCAGTTTCATGTTACTTCTACGTGTGATAATTATCTTTTTGAGTTTTTTTCTTTGTTCATCACTTATATATTATCGCTTTTTATTGTTTTTTCAAAAAGGAGAGGATTTCATTTTTTTAGGTGAACAATGGAAATTTTATCCAGTTTGATATTTTTATTCTCCCAAACTTTTTCTCACTTGTTGAGTACAGCGGTTTTTTGCGTGACCACTATTATTCGATTCTATTGCTTCTTTAAATAAAAATTGATTTTTTTTTCAAAATTCCAAGTTTTCAAATTTTTTCTGATTCGTTAGCCAGTTATAAACTGCGTTTGTATTTAATTTAATCTATTTCTTTTTCCATTTATTACCATTTCGACAAAATGATTTCGTTTCAGATGAATAGGACATTAGAAACTCTAGATCCGTTTCATGAAAAAGCTGCATATCATATCAGAACCTTTGCCACTGAAATTCAGCGTGATCCGGATCAAATTGCAAATTCGAAAGCGTTTCTGGCTCTCCTAAAACATTTCAATCCACTGGCAAAACTACCGCCCAATTTAGTGAGTTTACCCTTCAGGGCCGGGATTTCACGGTTATGGTTTTTACGGAGTTGACGGCATTTACGGCATTTTAAGCCATTCTTAAAATTTCATGGATCTGAAGTTGTCTCTATAAAATCTGTAAAAATCAGTACAATTTGCAAAATGACTGTTTTGGCAAGCAAACCCTGTTGTTTGTTCAAATTTCTGAAAAATGCTGAAAAAAATGGCAAGAAATAACTTGACGAGAATAATGACTTGATAGACGTGGGCTCTAGAAATCCTCGTCTCTTTGGGCTACATTTGGACTCTCATTGAAGTTTTAAGGACAATTTTAGGAATTTCGAGATTTTTGGTAACACAAGTGTGAGAATCCATAAATTTTTAATCATTGAGTTAAAAGTTTGCAACAAACTTAAAATAGTGTCAAACTTAGATCGAAAATAGCTTTTGCTTGCCAAAAACAGTATTTTTGCAAGTTTTACGGTTTTTACGGTTTTTACGGAATTCCACGGATTCTAAATACGTGTATTTTATTTCACACGGAAACCGTAAAAAATTGGTACTGTTCTAGAAACGAAAAAAAAACATGGAACGAAAAAAAAATCAGGGAACGAAAAAAAAAAGCACGGAACGAAAATTTTGGGTTTTCCAAATATTGCTACGACATTCATCCAAGTGCTTTTCCGAAATCTAATCTCAACGTCACTTTTTCTTTGATCAGTATCCAAAATTATACCCAAAAAGGTTTATTAAGTTCTCAAGATAGACTAGTTGACAGTGGACATAGTTAGTAGGTTACATAGGATCTTTTCCAGATGTTCTAGGAGTCATGGGTATATCTGTGAGTTAGATTTGTGGCTGCAGCGAAAATAGTTATCGAACTTGCCGACATTTTTCGAATACTCTAGACAAAGGAAAAATGGCGTTTCAGCCTAAGACGGGAAGCAAGTGTTATGTGGGGATTCAGATGAAACCTATGCTGAGAAGTAGTACACAACCTAACTAGAAGAAACCCAAAATTATTGCTGCCCTTGTGAAGGTCTATCCAAATGACGAGACATATTATGACTTCTCGTGAGTTTGGAGTTGGTACAGTTCGAAAGATCATAACTTTGTTCAATTTTGTGGTAGACGCTCAAACTTTTTTTTGTTCAAAAGGTGATAAATTGACAAGCATCAATGTCCGTTGCAGCTATGCTCCATCTTCAAAAGCAAATCTAGGAAACTATAAAATACTAAAATTTCGAGTTCCACCGAATTCAAAAAAAGCCAATTTTTGAAAAAAAAAGTACTCGGGAGACCATGTCTATCAGATTTCTCAGGGCAAGTAACGTAGATATCCGTGTTGAAATATAGGTCTAGCCTTTGAGTTACGAGACTTATTTTAATTTTTTTCAAAAAAAAAACTTGGAATTCGCGTACCCCTATAAATGAAATTTTTTGAAAATTTTTTAATCTTTCGAATCATTTTCGTTTGAGTTTCTCAGCTTCATTCTGTTACTTCAACCTATTAACCAGCGCATCTAAGAACTTGATATATCCCTTTTCAGATATACTTTTGGGTAATGGACGAAGTCAAATCAATGTCAAAGTTAGTATTAGGCATAATACTTGTCAAATTAAAGACAGCAGCACTTTTCGGATAACCCAAAATTTTCGTTCCGCGATTCTAGAACAGTGCCAAAAATTTTACGCCCAGCCCTGTTATCCATTGATTATTTCCAACTGGAAAACTATAATTTTTCAGCTGAAGGCACTGGGCGTATTGAGAGCAGAAGAAGCTTCGGATCCCTGTTCGCATGAATCCACTGCAGGAGAAATCGAAAACCCACAGCCAGTTCAGAGTAATAACGTTCATCCATCGACAACTTCCAACTCTGAAACTGGAAATATTCAGCTGAAGGCACTGCGCGTAGTAAAAACAGAAGAATCTTCGGATCCCAGTTTCCATGAACCAACTTCAGGAGCAGTAGAAAATCCACAGCTAGTTGATCCATCGACAATTTCAAATTCAGAAACTGGAAATACTCAGCTGAACCGACGGAATGAAGTAAAATCAGAAAAAACTTCGGATCCTAGTCTGCACGAATCAACTTCTAAAGAAGTCGAAAATCCACAACCAGTTAACAATCAATTTCCACCAGTTATTAATCATGAACCCCCACTGTATTATCAAAAACAACAATCCAAATGTGATAATTCGAATTTGCTTCACGTTCCATACGATCAGTGGATTCCGAAAAACGAATGTTTCGTCTGCGCGAAAGAGCAACTGAAGACCTATGAATCGACTAAAATTGAGAAAAATCAAATCGTGCATATCCTGACAAGTTGTTTCATGGTGCAACAAATGACATTTGAACGGGTTAAATTGGTTCTTCGCTCCGTGAGTCAAAAAATGTGTACAGCTCATATTGGTCAATCGGTATGTTAATTTTTAAGTTTGTTCTCCAAAAGTTTATCCTTTTTTCAGTGCATGTACACGTATCATGTGCTAGGAATGAAGAACAACAATGTGTATGAAGTTCAAGTCGATAAGTTCAAATATTATCACGATGTTTTCAGAGTGATCAGAGTGAGTAAAAAAAGGAAAAAATTGATTTACTTCTGTAAGAAAACGTTGTTCAGAGATTTCAGCGATATGTGCTTGAAAATAAACCAACAGACGTTACTATGTTTAATACCAAGAAGATTTTGAATCGGTTTATTCAAAATAATGATGTCACGAATCTGTTCGGGAAGATGATGCGCGAAAAAGCATATTTAACGTTTAATGTACTCGATGAAGCGAAGTTCACGGAAATTGTAAGTTGTTTCAATTTACGGAAGTAAAAAAACGCAATTTTCGAGTTTCAGATTATGGCTGATGAAGACTTTCGCGAATTCCTTCCACTTGATATGAAACTCAGAAACGCCGCAGAGACGCCGCAAAAAAGGACGCCACAAAAAAGAAAGTTCACTGGAGACAGCTTGGCTGTTGTTCCGACGACGTCTTCAAATATGCAGCCGAACTATATGACTAACAATGGTGCAACACTTCCGACGCCACAACATGAACCAAGCACATCAACTTATGAACCATTAGAGAAAGTACCCAAAACCGAGCCAGCCTGGTGATCGAATAAAACCATTTGTTTTAGCTTTGATCCCGATATTTCAACTTTCTGAAATTCAATTTTTGATTTTTGTTTTTTTTTTACTACCTCTTGAAACTTTTTAAATCTTCGATACTCATTTTCATTTGTTACCGAAACCTAATTTTTCAAACTCTAGCCGATACAGGTGGAACATAATGAATTTTTACTAAATATCCGAAAGACTGTTATTTTGTGCTCTCCGTGCCTCCAGCTTTGAAGTTGACTTGTCGCGGCACAATTGTAATCACCGTGATGATAATGTGACAGGAGAAAATTACACTCCTGGCGCTTCGATCAGCTCACTGGTGCGTCTAGGATGCGAGTTCGTTGCTTTGTTCTTCATTATTTTTGTAGCTAACTATCAAATTTAAAAATTCGATCTCAATTTTCAAACATATAGGTTTAAACTTCTCAAATTGTATAGTGCCATTAGGTCTCAGAGATTTCCCTGCAAGCAAACAAATTTCATTCATTTATTATGAAAACCAGTGTGTTTGTTAATTTGTTGCTCCTCCGATTCTTCAGTCGTCTGGATGGTGCGTCTACGGCGCGGTTTTGTGGCATCGCTCCTAATCGTTTCGACGCTCACTTGAACATTTATTTTGATCTTTAAAAACTGGGAAACAGCATTCATATTGGATTTTCTCTTAAGAAAACCGAAATGATATGAAAAGAAAAAAAACAGCATACATAATTTCATTTGTTTATTTTAAAAACGTTGATGCTGGTCTCATCTTCGTTTACCCCGATTGCCACACCGTAACGCCAGAAGAAATACGCTATGTATGCAGTCCTAATCCTCACATTTGTCTTTTCTAGTTATTCAACATATTGAGAAAGAATGAATTGAAGATTGAAGAAGAGCGCAACATTTTTCAAGAGTATTTTTCTAACACCAGTATCCCCGCTTTTACGATAATTAAAAAAAAAACCGCCCACCACGACCTCTTGCACTCGACGAGTTATGTCTAATTAAATGTGTTGACGCTCAAAAAGTTACAATATCAAACTTTGTTTCTTGCATCCTAGATGCACCAGTGAGCATTTTGTCCCAATAACCGGGTAAATTCAAAATTTTTGAATTTACTCCTGGAGTATGGGCCAAAAACATTTTTACAGAAAGTTTTGTGTTAAATATGTATAAAACAAAACTTGCTAAAAACCAGATAAATTGAAATTTCAGGTATTCGGATTCAAATTCTACTTTCCCCGAGATTGTTGGTTCACTGAAAAAAAACATCGGAAAACATAACTTTTTGGATCATAAATTCAGCTGCTGGGCTATAGTTATGGAAAGGAAATCGACAACCTGTTCAGAGGTCAAGTATTGGTCGTCAATGCATAACGTTGTTCAATGGGATCGTATCAATGCTGGAGTTATAAAAATAGGGGATCAATTACACATGACTGTGCCGAGTTACGTTTCTTATTCGTTGTGTAATCCACCATCCGAACTGAAACAATTCTACAATTTTGAAAAATGAGAATTTTCAAAAAAATAATCAATCAGTCCACAATTTTTGTATGTTTCAACAATTTCCACAATTTCACATCTCCTTAAAGTTCTTTATTCACAGCTACCAGAGTAACCACATTTTTCTGAAACATTGTGAAATGCCTCTTACTGATTTTTTATTAGTTTCTCGATTATGGCGCCTCTCTTTTTTATCAAAACTAAATAATTTGAAAGCAGGAAGAAAAATTTCCTCAACCTTCCTAAGAACTGCCAGAGCACATAGTTTTCTATCAGAACCTGCTCTCAAAAACGACCTCACAAAATGTGTACAAGCTCTGATTTTACGAATTCAAACGATAATAACTTTCAAATGAGTTATGAGTTTCCACCAAAGTCTGGCAGATATATATATATACATATACTCAAAATCTTTTTTACCTAATTTTGAAACCTTCGTTTGATATTGTTTTAGCTCGAAATGAAATCGGAACAAATATTCAGGAAATTTTTCATTTAGAAAAGTTATTTTGAAATATATGAGGTTTTTGAGATTTAAAAATACTAACACATCGAAACATTACAAAAATATAGAAAAACATAGAAAAATTCAAATCACCGCTTTGATTTTTTTGAAAATGCTCCTTTTTCACACCAATAGCTCAGTGCCAAACCACCACTTGTAAGAGCAAGGATGAAGAAAATCGTGCGAGCAATCTGAAAAATAAAATCAGTAAAAAAATAAATTGAGCGGTCAAAGCTAGTTATAAATATGATCAAAATTTCCTATTTGACAATTCCATACATTTTTCAATATGCCAAAAAAAAAGTTCTCACTCCCACTTCCTGTACTGACATCACTATGTGAGAATCAGGGCTGAACGAAAAATTTTGGGGGCATAATACTTATTTTTTGACCTGAAAAATTATGCGAGAAATTCATTGGATTATAAGACAAAAATGAAAACATTTAACGGAAAGTGTTACTATCGAATTTTTTTCGTTAGAATAGTACGGTCAGGCCAAGAACCTTCCAGAAAATTTCAAAAACTAGAACAATTTGGAAATACAAATGTATTCTTAAAAAATTGAAAAAAAAACGAATTTTTTTAATGTGTGTTCATCAATTTTGTTTTGTTTGAAAAAGTACACAGCAAGCAAAGTTTATTTTTAAGAAGAACTGGATGTTGCTACCATTTCGATTATATCTATCTTGGTGAGCTATGAGAGTACGGTATAATCTGTAATAGAATAGCCACTTTTAACTTTGCGCCAATTTTTCTCGGTTTTCGTCTGAGATATAAAAACGTTGTAGACTAATAAACTGCTCGTCATAATATACGTAAAATTTTATCAGTTGTCACATTTTTTAAATCTTTTTCAGGAATTTAAATAATTGAGCTTAAATTGACAGAGTGGGGGCTTTTCTATTACAGGTCTTACGGCATATGTATCATATAAGTATTACGTCTCCTTTTGAAATTACCAATTTTGCTTAAAACTTGTTAACAAAAACGTCACACAACACCCACACAATTCTCTGTCTGACAAAATGAGAGGAAGATTCTAAGACACAAATGTTCGTTTTTCGAAAGAAAAAAGACTCACAAAGATCAATCTTTGGACGCAGGGAGACCTTGGCTTTTTTGGCTTCTTTATTGGTTCCTCAACTCCAGTTGTTGATGTTATTGTTGGTTCAATAATACATATTTCAGGTGCAACAGTTGCGCTTCGAGCCATCACGAGAATTTTCGAAAAGTATCCGACTGGAGACGTGAAAAGAAGGCTGAGTGAGCGAAATCAAGCGACGATTGGCATATGACTTCCTTCTTTCATCTTCTGCATTAACGCACTTGTCTTGCTATTTCGTGAGAATTCTTGTTCTGATTGAATGCTGATATCAGTGCTTTTGAAATTTGGGCAGATGCAAAATTTCGGAGAATATGCGGAAGTGATATGAAGCGGTATTTGAAACAATAAATTTTCGTCGCGAGAATAATTGAAAAAGAGGAAAAAAGCTTGAAAAGAAACACAACTTTTATTTGATGGGAAAAAAAAAGAAAAATCTGAGAGGAGCAATAGGGGGATTAACCTGGATTTCGGGAATCCGAGGGAATGTCAAAATGTTAACTGAGTGAGTGAATAAGTGAAAAACAGGAAACTAACAAGAGGGTGGGTGACTAATCTTAATCCAATAAAAGATTCGCTATTTTGAGAATGAGAGTCAAGATGGATTAATAATACCTCCAACATGGAATGCTGAGATGAGAGGGACGTCAGTGGGTTGATACACGTTTCGATTGTTCAATATCAAACTTTCGGTTGTTGTTTTTGTCTTTGAGCTTATACGAAGATTAAGTAGAGGAGAGCAGATATGACATAAAGGCTTCCTCCGGTTACAAGAACAGTAGTAAGGATCTGAAAAGTCAAATTAGTTGTATAGAAATGGCATTTCTTGATTTGAAATATTTAGTAAGTTTCTCTATTAATTTTGGTATCTTTGAAAACATTTCAAGCTTATTAAGGACCTGAATTTTACTCATGGACCAACGTTTTTGAAAAGCATCATTTTTCTCAATTTTTTATTTATTCGAAAATTATTTTCTCTACAAATTTGCCATATTTTCCGATCAACAGAAAAAAATTTCTTAAAAAAATTTGTTGGTCCGAAAATTTTATTTTTCCAGATCTCCGAAAAATAGGTCGCCTAGATTTTTCTGTTTGGATCCAAAAAAGTTCGTTAACTGGCACCAAAAATCAAAAAGTACTTTTTCAGATCCGAAAATTTGTCTTTATCACATTCAGGAACAGCATTTTAAGAGACCAGTACTTTTTCGAATCGTTAGAACTTTTCTGAGAACCAGACTTTTCTTGGAAAGAACAGAACCATAATTTTATATTCGAATCGAATAACTTGCCACAAAAAGCGTGAAAACCGCACATGGAAAATCCACTGGCTTCTGAATTCTGGGTAGAATGTAGACTCGAGGATTATCATCCATGTTTGCTGAATAATAAAGTGATTGAACGACAGCCAAAGGTAGGAAATAAGAAGAAGTAATCAGAAATTTTGAATCAAAAACGGAGTGCAATCTTTTTTCCTAAAATGACATCAATGTCGCTTCCTTTTGGCGGTCGATTTCTGAGCAAACAATGTGAAAGAAAGGGGACGGTACCAATAGGTCAGAAATAACGAGCAGTATCTTTTTTAGTTGCTTTTCGAGTTCAAATTGTTGCACTTACTAAGTACATCTGTCCGAGGCATAGGAACATCTGCGTGTATTGAAATATTGATTGAAATACCCATAAACATTTTATAATAAATTGAAAAAAATTGTAATACGGTTAAAATGATGTACTCTATAAAATTGAAAAACATGCTCCGACCTTTCTATTGTTTCATTCTCTGGTATAATTGATGATTAAGCCAAATCTCAAATTGGTATATTCCGAAACAAACAAAGAAGATCCTGAAACAAAATCCCTGAAAAAAGTATCGAACATCTAATTATATTTTCGTTTCCTTACTAGAATTTTCAGCTTTTCTTTGAATTTTAGTTCTTTTTCATAATTTGTATCTGACGGTAGAGGAAACCTATACCTTCTTTCGTCAACATCATCTTCCAAGTTGTTTGAATGCACTTCAATATCCCTGTCACTGAAAATTTCATCTAAAAATTCGTAAGAGGAAATTTTCCAATAGAAAGTTAGGATTGATTAAGTCATTCTCCCGTTATCATAATTTTTATCATTTTTCGAAAAAATAAAAAAAGGATTATTTAGAGTATCCAATTTCTCAAACCTTGTCCGGATGCTCATTAATTGTTGATTCCAAATAATTAGAGCCTAAAATTAACCAAATTTGAAAAAAAGATAGGTAGTTTAATATTCAAATTTCAGTCCCTGCCAGCCATTCAAAAGTGATATTGTTTGGAATCTTTAGGAATACTTTTTTCTGTTTAAAAATAGCAAGCTCAGTGAAACTTTTGAACTGAGAGGTAAAAATTTGGAGAGGAAAAATGTTTGATATATCGTTGTTAATTTAAAACTCAACGATCTTCTCAAGAAACCGATTTTTTATGGTACAGAATTTATTACCTGTCAAACTTTTTGCTCAGTTTTGCTAAGACGTCATCAAAGAAAAAAGGCTTGAGACTTGGAAGAATAATGAAAAGTAGAGAATATGTATAAAAGAAATTTAACAGATATTCAAGGACCCACAATTGGGATGTTCTCGAACGCTTTAGTGCTGAAACCAATAAGTTTTTCTGTCTACATGGATAAAGAATTGATTCGGAATTCAAAAATTCATTTATTACAGTAATGTGAAGACATTGATAAAAGGAAAAAAAACGGGAAGTGTATCACATGAGTTTAATGTATGCGCTCTTATCTTGGTAAATCAGATAAAATAAGCAAGAAGTGTAGAAGCGAAACCAACGATTCCAATCAATCCAAAGGCAAGAAAGAGAATGAGAAGCATAAATACCTGAAAATAGCTCGATAGCAAGGCTTTCATGGGAAAAACACTATTTTAGTTTAGTAGTCAATACTTGAAAGTAATGTGATAATTGCTTATTAAACCTCGTTAATTAGACAGTAAAAAATCAGAATCATCCTTCATGGGACGGTGAATTATTCAAATAGACCGTAATTTTTATGTGGAGCCGTAAATCTCAATGAGGCCGCTATTATTTTATGAAACCGATCAAAGGTCAGTTAACTAATCGTAGGGCTGTAAAAGTCATAAAACGCAAAGAAATTCTTACCGTATGTCTGCTCACTAATCAGCAACAAAGAAGTTTCTCGCGTTTTGTCTGGACAACAAACACACCGTATGCCTCAAAATTCACATTAGCAGAAACAGTTTGAATTCTTGAGCACTCGATTTTTGCCATTTTTCAAATTTCTATGAATATGAGGGATGAAATAACAAGAATCTCAGATAATCCACGCCTTATATTTGTTGCCAATCCAAAAGAACATTTGTAGTTCGATTTTGATTGGTTTTCCTGTTACGTCAAAGAGAGAAGATCAGAAGGTTGAGATTATTCGAGTTGTATTTTGATATCTTTGTATTGCAAAAATAAGTCACACGGGTTTCATCTTCATTGAGCTAGATAGAAGAATCACATCAAATTGTGAAAGGTAAGTGGGAGAAAAAAGATGACGAGAAGAAGGACCATCACAAGCACCACGACTGCAAAACGCCACAAGCAACCGTCTTCGTGCTGAAAATATAATTCATTTTCCAACCAGAAACTGAGCTTGAAAATCTGCATCAACTCGTCACTTACCAATTTCACAGCCCACAGTTTCATAGCCATCCATTTTCCTCGGTTAGGACGATAAGCAATAGTTTGAGTACGATCAACCACAACACGGAATTGCATGTCTTGAAAAATGATGATTGAGAAACTTCTCTAAGAAATCGAATCCGTTTTCGAACCGGAAACTCGACCTAATTAGTTTTGATGAGCCTTGTGCGCATGATAATTGGGATGGGTTGAGCCACTTCCGTTTTCCTTAGAAATAGATTTGTATCCCGGAAGGAAGTGACATCAGTTCTTGTTTGAGAATCCAAAGATTCAGTACATTGCACCCTGAAAGTGCAAAGTAATCGAAATTTGCTATGAATCATGAACTGTTTGAGAAATCCGGATTTGAATTTACAGATCCCATCAAAGTTCAGAGGGCCTATAGAACTTCATATGTCCTTTCAAGTTTCCGATCACTTTAAGATTTGGATGCTGTAAAACCGACCTAGATTAAATATTTTTCATTTACGGAGTTGTTCGAAAAATTTTTGTTTTTCAGCGATTTGGAAATGTCTAAAAGACACCCCGTTTGGACCCGTTTTTGTACTGAAAAAGTGAAAAAATGCTACCTCTCAGGAACCGGAAAATAGCTGTTAGCTAGGATTTTTCAAAAAATTCTGTAAAAGCAAATTTTTCAATCTTAATCTGTTTCACACTCTCCGAAATTTTCAAAAGGATTGGAAACTTGACAGACGAGCTCCAGTCTTTTGAAAATGGTCAAAATAGCAGAATATCAACTGAAAATTAAGTTTTTGCATACCTTATTGACCGGTACTCTATTTAAAATTACCAAAAAAAGAATTCGCAGTCAGCAGGATTCGAACCTACGCGGACAGAGCCCAATTGATTTCTAGTCAATCTCCTTAACCACTCGGACATGACTGCTTCTGTCGTTCATCCGTCAATAGATAGACAAGAACAAGAGCAAATGTTTCAATCGTTTCGGCCGCAACAATATTTCTGTTTCCGTTGTTATCGCCACAATCAGAAGGTTCGAATCCTGCTGACTGCGAATCGTTTTGTGGAAAACAAACAAAACTTTTTTTTAAAAGTTGAATGAAACTGTTGTTTCCTTTTTCGTTTTCAAATGCTTGTGTGCTTTAGGATAGCCTTTTCTTTTAAAATAAAGCTTTGGATACAAAAACACAGGCAACATTCCAAGAAGTCATTCTAGACAGACCGAGCAAACTGATCGGCCCGAACCGGTCATCCACGTGTATGGTTCTTACCAACTAGTGGTTTATTGCATCATGCACTCATCAATCCTTTTTTCTTATCGCTGGGTCATCGAAAACATTGACGGTGTCGATGGGTCTTCGAGGAGATAAAAGAACCTGGTATCTAGTGTACAAGTCACATTGCATTAGCTACAGCTATACCTTCTCCAGAAAAAATGAAAATTTTTTTTTTTGACAGGTTAAGTTTTTAAATCATGATTTTCAATCATATCATTATCCAAGCTACGCTACAAATTTCTAAAAACTCTGATTTGCTATAGCATTTCTATTCACTCTAACAACAAAATTCAAAGGCTTTTTCCTTCTTCTTCTTTTTTTCTATTTCCTCCAGCGGCCTCTGCCACTCACGCAAAAAGTTACACTGAAGGCAGGCACACAACTACTCTCCTTCACTCTCTCACATGTGCCCAGTATCTTCTGTGTTATAACATTGAAATGCTTTGTCTTCTTTCATCTCCGTTGTGGTCTAGTGGTTAGGATTTATGGCTCTCACCCATAAGGCCGGGGTTCGATTCCCCGCAACGGAATATATTTTTTCTTTTTTTGTCGTTTTTGAATTGACTGTTGAATAGTCCAAAAGCTATTTCCAAGATCAATCGATCATCAGTGACGTCATGTTGTTCATTCCAGTAAACATGAAAAATAGCTTGGATCTCCCACTAGTTTGTCTTATCTTCCCAAACAGAGTATGCAATCTGAACAGACACTGCTATTTGTATGCATTACTATTCTGTTGTATAGATTTTTCCATCCACTTTTCTCGTTCTCCCTTTTTATGTTTTCCTCTCTTCATCTTACGCACTCTCTAGTATTTTTTCTGTGCGTCCGAATAACACAATGAGACAGCAACTGGAAAAAAGAGAGTATGCTATGCGTCTCTCGCCCCAAAATACTCTTGCTTTCACTCATTGATTAACTTTATTGTACAAGTATTTTTTTTAATCGTGTAACACTCTAATATCTCATTACCTGTGACAGATATTAAAAAGTGGTCAATTGACAAAATACTTATTATAATATCAACAATATTTTGTCAGTTGACTACTGTTCAACATCTTCCGCAGGGAATGAGATAGGTGTGCTCAAATTTGAAAGTTCAAGTGACACTCTATTAGGGTTTTTACTGTTATTCAGTTTTCTTACAGCAAACCATGTCCAATATGCCAAAATCATTTGCTGATGGAATTCCGACCACATTCAAGAACATTGACGACATGCATTGCTGGAGCGCAATTTTGTTCTCTAGTTACATGGTGAGTTTTTTTGTTGGAAATTGGTGTGTATGAAAATTTTTAATTTACAGACTTCTGTGGTAAGAGCGACTGTTCCCGAGTACAACGAGAGATGTTTAGCAGAAGAGAGAGTTAAAAATGGAAATGGAGCCAACACATCGAAACAGAATATAGAGGTGAATAGACTTCCCAGGCATAGTTTTGGAAGAAAAATCACGTTGAAAACGTTGAAAATGAGAGAGAAAGTTTGATAAAAAGGCATAGCAACTCCTCACCAACATAAGGATCCCCTAGATCCCCACTATCCGACCTAAAAAAATAATTTTGAAAGTTGAGACTTCAGTCAGAGCCATGTTTCATTTTAGGAATTTTCTGATTCTAAAAAAGGTGTGTAATAATAGAATAATACATTAAGTGCATTTTTATCTAGTTTTAAAACCCAAATTTGCTACTGTCCAACTCAAAAAACAATGACTTTTGATAAAAATAATATGAATGGATAGAGCTACGAACTTTAATTATGATGACCAACGATTAGAATTTTTTCATTCCATAGTTCTTGAGAAAATTCATTTAAAAATCATTTAAATCATGCTCAGTGCATTTTTATTCTCTTTTTTTTTGAAAAATAAGTCAGTTAATTTTTGAAAAGTAATAAAAATGATTTTCCAAGGAAAATGTTCATGAGTAGAACTCATGTATTTCAGACACCATCTGGACCAATCTCGTTCGCTGTTGCCAGAAACATGAAGCAGAAGCCATGCCTCTTTGGGCCAACCCTGGTCCAGCTGGATAGGAAGCCATCAGCTCCAGAGGTGAGACATCTTTTCAGCTCTCTAACCTATTTTGACTTCAGGAGATAGAAACTGTCGGATCAGGAGTTAAACGTGCTGCTACAGTTTCTCAAAACACGAATCCAGCCAAGCGAAGCAAGTAGTTTCTATAGCTCCCCGGATTTCTATGAATATTTTTTATTTCTTGTTGATATTGTATTGTGATTTTGTTTTGTTGTCTTTTTGCCACATTTCCATGCCGCCTTACTATGCCTCAAACATAAACGTGTTTTGTAGTTCTGGTATCTTTGTGTGATCCGAGACTTTGCACTGCCTATGAATGTGGTTTGTACTCTGCCGGTTCTTGCGGCGGTTATCAACAACTCTTATCTCTGTTTCTGCGTCTCTTTAAAATACCCAGGTTGTTTATTATCAGACCATTTGTGTGTTTGGGCATTCATTCGTCAGCCAGACCCATTTTCACCGAATTGTTTCTCTTATTAGCACAAATTATTTTCACATATTAATCTTCCAGAAAGATGGTTCTCGAACAGGCGAAAGCCAAAGCCATACGATGGTTGGAGGATAATCGAGGACTTGTGATAGTGGTGTTCTGTTTGCCAGCTAGTTTTGTGAGTGTAATTTTTTGAAATTACATATAGAGCCAGCCAATAAGATTTGCTTTTGAACTTTTGAACATACTTCTCAGTTGATTTTGACAATTTTCATATCTGTCATATTTCCAATCCTTTTTTAAATTTTGGAGAGTGTGAAACAAAACTGGATTCAAAACTTTTGCATTGACAGATTTTTTTGAAAAGTTCTAGTTTTTTCGGCTAATTACCGAGACCCAAAGACACCTCCCTTTTGACCCGTTTAGGCACGGAAAAAGTGAAAAAAGCAGGGCTCTTCAGATATAGGCAAATAACAGAAAAGTTATGAATTTTCAAAAAATTCGGAGAATGCAAAATTTTTACTCTAGATCTGTTTTACACCCTTCAATGTTTTCAAAGTTATTGTAAACTTGACTGCCGAGTACCAGACTCCTGAAAATGGCCAAATTCACAGAAAAATACGTTTTAGCATATTTTATTGACCGTAACTGTAAATGAGTGTTATAATTTCCAGCTATTCGACCTGTTCATCCAATTTCGTATCTGGCTTGACCGCAAGCTTTCGGTTACCACTACCCACCAACACCGCGTTCAAAAAATCCAGGACCAAGTCACAGAATGGAGTAAGCTCCCAGCATCCGAAAAGAAGCCTTTGTGTACAGCAAGACCTAATTGGTTGAGTTTATCTACCACATTTTTTGATAAGGTAGGTTCAAGTCTCAGGATATTGCTCCAGATCGTGTGAGATTCAGAAAAAGTGCCACCAAGTGCCCATCGACCTCCATGACGTTTTATCCCTTGATGAGGACAACTTGACAGTCACCGTTGAGCCGAATGTTACAGTTCGAGAGATCTGCAAGTACCTGATTCCAAAGTGAGTCTCTCAACGCTTCTTATCATATGTTCTATGCACCTTTGTTTGATTTCCATTTTCATAACGTTATAGTTAACATGTCATACGTGGAAATGGGAAAAAAACTACTGATAATGACTAGAGACGTGGCACTGATTGTGTGAAGAACACTTGCACATTGACCTTTGGTGGTCCCATCAAAAATTATCTTTTTTCAGAGGATACACTCTTGCTGTCACCTTGGAAATTGGAGATGCTACACTTGGAGGGCTTGCATTTGGAGTTGGTATGACAACATACTCACACAAAGTAGGACTCTATCAAGAAGCAATCGTCAGCTATGAAGTTGTCACCGCCGATGGAAAAGTCATCCATGTCACAGACTCCAATGAGCATTCTGATTTGTTCTATTGTCTTCCATGGTCCCATGGAACACTCGGATTCCTTGTTGGGCTTACTCTGAGGATTGTGAAAGTCAAGCCTTATGTGCATATGAAATACATTCCAGTAAGGGAGTATTATGCATCAGCGAGAAGCGTGAAAATCTTTTTCAGTGTCACTCCCAAGAAGATTACTGCAAAAAGATCATGGAACTATCTGGAGCTACTGACAGGGATACAAAGGTGGCTGACTACTTGGAAGTGACTATTTATAACAAAGAAGAAGCTGTTATCATGGTCGGAAATTTCGCTGATGTGGACCCAAGAAGCAAGGCAAAGGTACTTGAATTTCATCTTCGAGTTTTTCAGGATTTCATATTTTTCAGGTAAACGATGTTTGTTGGTTTTACAAGCCTTGGTTCTACAAGCATGTGGAAACATTTCTAAAGAAAGGAGGCGAAGAATACATTCCACTAGAATCTTATCTTCTACGTCACAACCGCGCCATCTTCTGGGTTTTGGAAAGCATGATTCCATTTGGAAACCATCCAGTATTCCGTGCTTTCCTCGGATGGTTATGTCCACCAAAACCAGCTTTCCTGAAATTTACCACCACTCAAGCAGTCAGAGAAATGACATTCGCCAAGCAGGTCTTCCAAGATATTGTCATGCCCTTGGACACTTTGAAAGAGCAAGTCGACACTGCTGTGAAGCTTTTCGACACTTATCCTCTTTTGGTTTACCCATGCAGAATCTATAATCATAAGGGAGGAGCACCACAAGGACAGTTAAGGTGAGCAATTTATTTGAACTTGCTTAGCTGGCGGGCCTTCGGCGCGTTTTCGTCGTTTCGCGTCTCATTTTCGGTTTCTCGTTTTCAATTTACCTTACAAAAATTTCGAAAATCTAGCCGAAAGGAGAAAAACCCGCAACTTCATATATTTGTTATAAGAATGATGATAAAGTGATTTCTTTCAGAGCCCCTCCAAAGTCTAGACTTGTACCAGGAACCAACTATTCCATGTTCAATGATCTTGGAGTCTATGGTACACCAGGACCAGTGGAACGTCGTGAACCGTACAACCCAACCTACGCGATGAGAGCAATGGAGAAGTGAGCAGTTTTTTCATTCAATTACCCCAAAACATACAAATACAGTAATTGATTTTGAGCATTTTCATGAGACTAGAACTTGACTGTCAAGTTTCCGAATACACTAAAACTCATGGAGCGTGTGAAACAGACCTAGATTGAAAATTTTCTCATTTACATTATTTTTGGAACCCCTAGTTTTTTCAGCTATTTGCCGATTTTTGAAAGACACTGCTCTTTGGCCCGTATTCGTACTGAAATTGTGGAAAAAAAAACAGCAAAAAAAAACTTCGCCAATTATCAAATAGCAAAAACAGTGAAAAGTGTATTTTTTTTGTTCAGATTCACCCGTGACGTCGGAGGTTACTCGTTCTTGTACGCCGACATATTCATGAACGAGGAAGAGTTCAACGAGATGTTCGACATGACTCTCTACAATCAGGTCCGCGGCAAATACCATTGTGACCGAGCATTCCCGAGACTTTATGATAAAGTCAAGCCAGAAATCGATGTGATTGCTATCGGAGAGACTTATGCTATGAAGAAAGATGACTAACTTTCGGACTGATTAGAAGAAAATTGATTTTTGTGTTGTATGAATAAATGAATTGCTTTCGTTCATGAACCTCTAATATTTTTCTTTGTATTTCATCCACATCCTCAACGCACAATTCTTCTGGAGACTGCATTCTCTTCCCAATATCTCCGCTCCGGATCGTTCTAAAAGTTCACTCGTTTCTCTCAGTCATTTACAATGCCTTTTAGGCCCACTCCATCTACCTGGACATAGAGGAAATGTGAGGAATTGTGAGGAAAATATGTTGAAGTCGAGAAACACGGAGGAGGTGGGCCAACCGGAGAGTGAGGTGGAGTTAGAGAGAAAAGGAGAGGGGAGCGAAACGAAATGAGATCGTATCCCAAAAAGATCCGTATCTAACCTAAAGACGCCATTGGGCCGACAAGGCGAGGCATGCGGCTGCTTCGAGACGTAGTCAGGTACTGTGTGCAGCCAATACTGCACAAACAACTGCTTCTCATTTCGCCAATAAAGCTTTTAATTCTCTTATTTTCATGGGTCATCCCATATTTGATCGTAAGTTGTTGGTTTTTGTGTGAAATTTGAATTTTGTCCGTGTGTGTTGAAGAAAATAAATCAGATAATGACAATGTTCCGCGCCATTAATTTCAATCTTCGAGAAAATCGATATTTTGCAGTTTGCCAATTACCTTGAGTCATGTCTCCTACCTCTTCGGGTGCTATGTTACACACAGAGTGATTTGTTATCAACGGAGCCGAGAGATCCAGATTTTCAGACTTGTGAGTATTCATTTGCGAGATTATGTATAGCGCAGTAGGGGAATTGATAGAATAAGTAATTTTTACAACCACGTAAAATTCAAATTTGGAAACGGAGCCGAAAAAGTCCCTGGCGGGTTTTATCTCATCGTATTTTATTTAACATAAGCCTACCCAAACCATCAACTTTGAGCTCAATTATCTCGACTCCTTTGAAAGGTATCTGAATTGTGTCACCTGATAAAATTTTGGAAATATTAGGAAAACATTGCGTGTGGACCACTTTGCAATACCTCATACAGGAAAAGAGATGTATGAGCTTAAATTTGACGGCTTCGGTAAGCTTCTACTAGAGAAAATACAGTAGATACTATACAACTCAACTGACGAGTTCTAAAAATTGAAAATATAGATGAAACGCGCCGAATAAAAAAATATTCCAAGCCCGTCACGTTTCGGATCGTCAGTTTCATGGCATATAGCTTGGTTCCTCGACAAGCTACTTTTTTAATAATTTTATTTTGTAGTGCTCGTTCAGTTATATTATACCTGATTGAATTGGTCAAAAAATGTCGATTCCAAATAAAACTATGGCAGGTCTATTCCCACATTGTCTTTGAACACTCTCCCTGACACATAAAATAAGACAATGTTATTGAATTATACCCAATGTTCCGACAAAATGCGACAAAAAAAACTGGGTGCAAAAAGAAGCGAAATATGTTTCCTAACAAAAAACGAGATTGTTTTGCTTTCGGCTAAAGACAATGACGACAAAATGATATGTACAAAGATCATTCTCTTTTTCGAGAAGCTGAATGAAAAGGAATGATTAGGCTAATTTCGAATGTCAATTAGAAAGAGAGTCACTGAAAAATAGTGAACCAACAAAGCTAGATTATTGTATTTTCAGGAATAGAAGACTTTTCTTTTGTACAAGGCAAAGAATATCCACTTTCAGATCGACAATCTAGTCTCCTTCAAAAGATATCGAAGTTTTCTCCACTGATAAAATGTTTGCCATAATATCCTTGGTATTTTATCAGTTGACAAAGTTTTAATATTTTCTAAAGAACAAAGATAATTGAGCTCAAAGTGAATTCAAAGTTGTGCTCAAATTAGGGCTTTCAACAATAATAAATTTGAAATTATTAAGGTCACTTAGTGAGGTTTTCCATGCTTCCAGGCGTCGATAAATTTTTCCCGAACCGCAAAGCAGATCCAGAAAGCTGCAAACTTGACAAAATCCCTGATGTTTTGATACGCCCCGACTTGCCAGACTACCCGAAGCGGATTCTTGTAATACGCTCTGGCCCGGATCTTTGGATTATCGTAATTTTATCAGAAGAACGTGGAAAAACCAGGTATAGTATCATTTTCCAGAATGAATAAATCACGTATTCGGATTCAGGTGGACAAACTGGTCCCGGTGGTTTTTGTTTGTGCGACATCAAAGAATGACACACTAAAGATTGAAGCTAACAAATACCGAGGTTGGTCGTTCTCACAGACAATGAAAAACAAGCTGATCATGATTATAACATTTTGATCGTCTTCAGATATTCTCCAATTCGATTTTGAGGACTCCTATCACAACCTCTCCTGGAAGATGATGGCAATATACGGTTTTGTCATTGACCAATTACCGTCGGTTGATCAAATCGTTGTCACGAACGACGACACAATTGTGAACGCAACCGCATTGGAACAGGTTAACAACCATCGCATCAAAAATAAAAGATTCCTATCACCAATAAATCAAAATGTGAAAAAAAGTCCTTTTGGTGAAACAGGCAGAAACGCTTTTGATGATAACGATATCTGTTCTTTAGAAAAAAGTTATGTTTCCTGTTTTGCAGGTATTACACATGAAGAAAGGTCCAGTTATGCTAGGAAAAGTTTCGCGCGGATATCCTCGGATTTTTCTACCATGGCTTACATGGCATGTTCCATCGGAAATGTATCCAAACTTGTGTTATCCACTTTTTGTTCAGGTGATCATTGAGGAAGTAATGGAAAATGATAAATTATATTTCAGGGTTCATCGTTCGTACTTTCTAAAGAAGGGGCTAAGCTACTAGTGGAAAATGTCTGCAAAGTACCAATGGTTCATTTAGATGACGTTTTTATGGGTAGGGTTATACGATAATAAAATACACAAAAACGTGTTTTCGGTGATTTTGACCATTTTCAGGAATCTGAAGCTTAGCTGTCTAGGGTTGTACCCTTTTGAACATTTCAGGGGGTTTAAAACATACCTAGATCGAAAACTTTGCATTCACAGACTTTTTGAAAATTTTGTCGTTTTTCAGCTATTTACGAATTTCTGAAGGACACCAACATTGTCCGGTTTTTGTAGTGAAAACGTGAATGAGCAGTTGACCATCAAAAATCGTCAAGTACTTGGAAAATAAGGAAATATCAATAAAATTTACAAATGCAAAGTTTTCAAGCTATTTCTGTTTTACATCCTCTGGAATTTTCGAAATGATTGAAAGTCTGACAGTCGAGCTCCAGACTCCTGAAATTGATAAAAACAGACAAAAATCTGTATTTTTTCAAAGTCTTATCAAATTGTTCTAGGTGTTCTCTCGAATTGCGTCGGACTTGGACTTATTCACAACGAAGGATTCGACAAACACATTTTCGATGACTTTGTGGTTTATCATTATCAATACTCTCGACACTCGGCCAAATACTTGGAATCTCTATGGCAAAACTCTGAAATGAGTTTATAGGCACAAAGTTGTTCTGTTTTATCTGCTTAAAACTATATTCTAAAAACTACATTTTCATATATTTTGAATCTTTTTGAAATCAGAGAATTGTATCTTGCTTTAAAAAGTCATTTTTACTGTTCTCCTCCCCCGAAAAACCTTGTCATTCCGCTTTGTCTTGATCCCATTTAGAAATTAAATGCCTCTGACAAAAACTTCACACAACAAAAACACAAAGAACATAAATGCTGGTTACTTTGCCATATAGAAATCCAACATCAAGTTGTTGTTCCACTTTCCATGTTTCCCTCGGACAGCGTGGATGATGGCTGCTTACGAATCATTTATTGGCGACGAGAAAACAAGACAAATCGCTAATCAACTGTTTCACTATTGTTTTCTCCTATTTCCTTGGACATTTTCATTTCTTCACAATTGGCTTCTCATTCTCTCCAGGTGAATGCGGCGCGCAAAAAGAAATGAAAGGCGATTGATAAGGAGAAGAAGCAGCAAAGTAGATGCTAGGATGATCCAAGTCGGCAACCTCGGTGATAAACGATTGGTCAGGTAGCCCCGCCCATAATTGTTAGGACGTGCTTTCGGATATTTAAGCTGAAGACAGTGAAGTTTATTCACTCCTATTCAAAAGGGCACGTACCGTTTTTTTGTTCTTATGTTTTACTTTCTCTGCACTTCTGAAAAATAGATCAATGTTTTAGGATGAGATCGCTTATTTGGATAGTGTTACTGTCGATATCCTATGAAGCTGCCTTTGGATCAGAATGTGGAGAATCAACAATACCATACAGTTTAGAGGTGAGCACAATTAACTTCTTGCATCATTGAGACAACTTTTTCTACCAACTAACATGGATACCGTAAAACCCGTAATAAGAGGGGCTCCAAGAGTTTTTAAACTTGAAACTCTGAGCGAATTTTTCTCGGTTTCTGTCAAAGATACTAAATTTTTTGTCTGTTACAAGTTTCTGATATGTTTCACAGAAATCGAGAAAATTGAGTTGACGTTTCGGGTAGGCTACTATCGAAAGCTATACAGCAACCACCAATTCCAATGTCACTAGGAAATGAAAATTTTTGGAAAAATTCCTCTTGGTTCATAAATTGCATCACTGAACCTAATATATTACATTTCGAATGAAATCCAGGAAGGGGTTGCCATGAAAAAATAGGTTTCTAGCATTTTTGTTTAAAAACTCCTTGAGAGCTTGAACTTGTTGGCCCAACTCTGAAATATCACGCAAGCTGAAGTTACCAAACAATCAAATGCAGTACCGGTCAATAATTTGTACAAAAAATTATTTTTCAGTTGATTTCGGCCCTTTTTGACCATTTCAGGGAGTCTGGTGCTTGACTGTAAATGTAAATTCCTGGGTTTTCAGCTATTTTCCGATTATTAAGAAACTGTTTTTTGGCCCGTTTTGTTCTGAAAACCCGATTGAAACAAGAGTCTTCCAGTAATCGGCAGCTAGCTGTAAAACCAGGAACATTCAAAAAATTATGTAAATGCAGAATCTTTAACCTAGTTCTGTTTTTCACATTCAAAAATTTTCCAACTGGTCGGAAACTCGACAACCAAGCTTCAGACTTCTGAAATTGGTCAAAATAAGCTAAAAATAATTGTCGCTTATTGAATACTGTAAATATAAGCGTCACGATAGCACACTGTGATTCCCAACATTATTTTTTGAAACATCTTTCATCTCCTCTCCTTAAGGTTCTTCCATCAGGCCAACCAATTCTCGGCTGTGCCAGACCAACATGCTTCGGATGGCATCCAAATGGTCATCAACTTCCAACCACCGCTAAATTCTTCCGCATAAATCAACAGTCAGACGGATTCCTTCGTGATGATCCTTTAGCTATTCACACTTTCGACGCCGCTGACCCGCGAGTCTATTCTCAGCAGCATGCGGTGAGTGATAAGAAATGAAAATGAACCGCGGGAGCGAAAGGAAGTCAAAAGTGACAAGAGAAAAATGCATGAAAGATGATGAGTGAAAAAAGGAACAACAGGTTCTTGTGACCTATTAATTTTGTATCAGAAAAATCGGTCAAAAAATGAGGTAAGCGATAAAATATGTTCCAAGAGATCAAATAACTTTTTTATCAGTGTTGAACTTTAGACCTGCGAACACGAGTTCCAATCATTTTCATGTAACCAAGAGGATCAATGGGTTGGAGGTATTTCTCCAGTTATGAATGCAACCAACACCCAAGTGTGAGTCGGGACACAATATGACCTTTTTTGAATCCCCAAATTCCAGTATTGCCTACCAATGTTGTACTTATCCACCACTACGTGCATCAACTGATCGTGGCCTTGCTACAGTATCTGGAGGACAAATTGTGGTTGGAGGAGAAGTCACTGAGAACAACAAGCAATACGCATTTGACTATATCAGCAACGTTGAGAAAAAACTTTCTGCTGAGGGAGAGGTGTTTTATGAGGTCAACATTAGAAGATTCTCTTGCTTGGACCTCCAGAAGGCAGATAGATCAGTTCGTAAGTTTTTGTTACTTTTTATGCAACTTCTAACTTTTTTATATATTTTTGTACTATTCCAGAAGAAATCTTGAACGCCGAAAACATCATTCGCCAAGTGAACAACCAAAAGGCCGTAGCTCACCAAGCTCCCATCGCTGCTGTAGACACTCCTATCGAGGCTGGAGAGCTCGTTGTCCCAGAAGGAGTTGTCAATGGACAAGCAGTCATTATTGAAGAAATCGTAGCGCAAGAAGGATTTATCGAAGAGGTGACAACTCCAGTTCCACCACCACCATTCCAACCACAAGGATTTCAACAGCCACCGCCACAGCCATTCCAGCCACAGCCAATCCCACAAGGATTCCAGCAACCAGTGCAGCCACAAGTGTTCCAGCCAGTGCCTGTTCAACAACCAGTGGTGAGAAACTGTTAAGTTTCAGCATTTCGTTTCACTCATATTATAATCATTTTGTTAATTTAATTTAATTTTAATAATTCTAATAAGTTCTAATAATAATGACAAGTTTAATAATGTTAATAATATACATCTATAATGATAAATCATTTTTAAATACCGATTATAAGTTATTTACACATCATATACACTTGATAAACCCCATTACATAATTCAGTTATAATAATAATAACGACAATTAGAATATTACTAATAATGTTAATAATTTGCATCTACAATAATGATATAGTAAATTTTTAAAATCTCAATTCTAAGTTGATAACACATTGATACGCCAAATTTTTAAATCCAATTTCAGCCAGTACCAGCTCAACCAGCCGGATATTTCCCATATTTCTCAGCTCCAGCTGGACTTGAACTTTACTATTGCTTCCCTGCTGATGCTACTGTACATGTTTACGATCAAGGAACCAAGAGAATGGACGAGTTGGAAGTTGGTGATTGGGTTCAGGCTTTTGAAAAGAATGGAGAGACCGTAACCCATGTTCCGGTTCAATACTGGATCCACAGGGACCAAACTCAAAAAGCTACTTTCATTGAGTAATTGCTGGTTATTTATTTATTTTTTGATTTATTTCCTTTCAGATTCTCCCTTGACAACGGAGAGAAGTTTTCGCTTACCGAGAAGCACATGGTCTATGTTAGCCAATGCGAGAACAACAACTATGTAGAGGGCATTAATTCTAACGCAGTGCCAGCCGAGAAAGTCAACGTTGGAGATTGCTTCTACGTTGCTCATCGCACGGTGAGCTAATGCAGCGAATTTATAAAAATCAGCGAAAATTGGTATTTTCAGAACTCCAAACTTTACCAACATGTGAAAGTTCTTGATATCAACAAGGTAAAGAAAACTGGAATATATGCACCAATGACGTCAGTTGGACATCTTCTCGTGAATAGAATTCATACTTCCTGCCACTCGGAAACTGATAATCATACTCTCCAAGACACATTCTTTGCGGTAAGCATACAGACAACAGTCTCGGTTCACAATTTCAATCTAATTTTTTCAGAACGCTCTACACTTTAAAAATCTTCTCATGAAGTTCTTCGGAACTGCTGATTCCACCAAGGAAGAGAATCTTGGATATGGAATTCATAGTTTGTTGGATGTGGTTGACTTGGTGCTTCCCGCTAAATTTGTATAAAACACAACTGCTGACATTTTTCAAGGAGTTTCATAATAATATTAACCAGCCATGATAATTCACTAACACTGTCGTTGCCTAGAAACCCATCGAAGATGTTTTTTTTTTGCCTGTTGTAATTTAATGAACAAATAAAATAGTACAATTTTGAATTTGATACAGTTGATAGAAAATTGATACAGTTGATAGCGATGAAGAAAATCAGGAAGAGTACAACAAGCTAAAAATAGAATTTCAAGTTTCTAAGAATTTCGCGAATTCGGAGGAGAATGCGGAGAAGGGATGAACAGGGTTGAAAAAATAAATTCAGAAAGAATACACATAATTCGGAGGGTACTACAATTCGGTGTTACAATGTGCTACATAGGTGTTTAGGGCACAAAGATCGAATTTTTCAGGTGGTTTGCATCCCCGAACTGAGGATTTTATATTCCTAAATCACTTTATACGCAAATGACCAAAACGTTCTTCCGAATTATTTCCGAAAAAAAGAGGCAAGAATTCTGACAATGGAAGAAGGAAATATAGTACCGGTTGATAAGATATTCAAAAAAGTATTTTTTAGTTGACTTTCAGCAAAACTTCACATTCACAGGACATCAGAAAATGGTCAAAATGACACAAACTAAAAACACTTTTCGTATATCTTATGGACCGATACTGACTATGCTTGATATGAACACTTATTCAACTCTTCCTAGAGTCGATGAGTTTTGTGCAGTTTGAGGTCTTCTTCTGCCTGCAGTCTGAGCTCTTGCAGCAACCGTAACCACTGTAGTATTTGTTGTGTTCACTTTTTTGTCTTTGATCTTCAAGAAACGACGAATCATCTGACGGGTACTGTGTGTCTCCACGTAGTAGATAAAGAAGTTCATGATCGGAATAGACTCATATCGAAAATAGAAAATTGCGATTCGTAATGGTTCAGGGAGCCCTGCATATTGAGTCTGAAAAAAAGTTATTCAGAAATTGTTTTGTTTCAAATAGTTCTATCATACCGGAAAGGTTCTGATGAGAAACGCTCCGACCTCATAAATAGCGAGATAGGCAGTGACAGCGGTCGTTGAACGCATCAATGTGCGCTCACGACGGGCTTGGATATCGTTCAGAGATGTGTTCGATCCGTTGTTTTTTAGTTCACGTTTATTTTTGAGGAACAAATTGATAAACTTAATGTATAAGTTTTTGCGATCCGCATAAAAGTGGAAGACAACAAAAAAGTTGGAAAACATACAAGTGACAGGTATTGCAATCGCATATTCATTTTGGAAAGCCGTGATCTGAAATTTTATAGTTTAAGTGATTTGAAATGAACAGGGGGGGGGGGAGGAGGTTCTGAAATGAACTAGTTTAAGAGGGGTGGGGCTAAGATAGGCGATGTACTAAATTGTATTTTAAGAATTTTTCTGAATGACAGGAATGTTTTGAAATTTTTAAAATTTCAAAATATAGGAATGGTCCGATTTCGAAAATTTCAGAATTTCGAAAGTAAACATTCTCCTTAGAGATGTTAGGGATGTCAAAAATCCAATTTCCAATTTTTCGAAAACAGGAAAAAATTTACGATAAATTGAAAAACAGATTCTGAAACAGCGAATACAACATATTATAAGTATTTCCGCCCAAGACCAGTCAGAATTTTTTTAGCGTGAGTTCTTTTTTCCTATGAAATGTAATTCTCATGTCACGTGTATCCCATCAAACTCAATCAATTTTTTTGTCCCTGAGTCCCATTATGTTTTACTCTTTTTGTTAACTGCTAATCACTTTTTGATTGAACCATTAGGGAGAAAAATTTGATTGATTTTAAGCTTAATCATTGTCTTATATGGAACACGCAACCTTTTCTAATCTCAGATACTTTTTTTTTGTGTTTCAGGTGGAATCTGATTAGCCTTAAACTTTTAGGGACTTACCGGGTGACGATTTGGAGCGCATCCAGACATGAAGGATCGAGACTCAATCCGAAAAACCACATAACATGGACTGAAGTATGGGATAATCATGGAAGTGAAAGTGATGATACTGATAACACCACAGAGGAAGAAAATCCGAGGTTGGGTGAAGACATCATTGTTTCTAAATGGATACAGAGCCATGTAGATTCGATTGATAGTCATGAGAACGGTGATAAAAAGTGCATTCAGATAAGAGAATGATCCTGCAAGAGTGAGTTCGGCTCCGAACATGCTGATAAATGCTGAAAAGAGAACGCTAATTAACATGTTCTTATCATGCGACTTGTCTGAAAGATCAGAAGTTTTATTTTTGCAAGAATGTTACCTTCAAAATAGTCTTTTGGTAAAACCATGTAGACGAAGCTATTGACACACATGGCAAATGTGGTGAGCATTCCGATGGAAGACATGACAGTCATATAGGCGACGGGGACACATGCTTCAAAAATATACCGTAATTTCTTTAATATAGGTTCATGGGCTTCTATTTTTCAACTTTCCTCTCTTCTATTAGTGTGTGGCTTCAATTAAAAGTTTTTATTTTTAGAGAAATTTTTTTTTCAACTGAACAGTGATATAAAACCACTACAAACATTGACGGAAACTATCAGGAAATCAGGAGAAAGAACTTTTTTGTCAAAACACCAAAACGACAAACAGCACAGCCAGGGTGAGTTTTATTACAGAGTGGGTTTCTATCAGAGAGGACACGATATTCAGTGTTAAAGATTAAAAAAGAATAAACTCACAATCATTTCGGTTACGGTAGACAGCCAGAAACATAATTAGGTCGAAAACGAAGAAAATCAAAGGGTAAAAGAAGGAGCAGATGTACAGAGCCCATTCTAAAACAACGAAGCTTTCAGGAGCCATCGTGGAGGCCATCGACACGTTCATGTCACCAGATGGAAGAATGATTCTGAAATTGGCTCTCTCCGTTGAAAATGGTGCAAGACTCCGCCTCTTTTAAGAGTCAGGTGCTAGAGGGTGACAGAACATGCGTGATTTCTTTTTTTATTGAAAAGGCGAAACTTTTAGGAAATAGTGTTCAAAATAAGTAGAGATAGAAGCAATTGTTCAATGGAACCAATAAAATGAGTTTTTTTCGGCTACATGGACTGTGCGCTAAAGTTGATGGGGGTTCAACAAAGTACTGTAATTCACATAATTTAGAAATTCGTTTAAAAAATTATGGGGAGTCCATAAACAACTATTTATATATTCTTCATGGTGGCAAACTACAAATTTAATCTTCAAACTTGAAAATTCCTTCAACTACCATCGTTTCGGTCATTTTTAAACGAATTAATAGGGGGGGGGGGGGGGAAAGACTGATGTACATCCCAACAAAATAGACAAACGATGAATAATACTAGATATGGTAGTTTTGACAACTGCAAAATAGCAATGGCCACTCAAGCTTCAATGATGATTCAGAGAATTTGGCAAAACGAATCTTTCAAAATTAACGGAATCCGATTTATCTCATCGCAAGCATCATTCACATTTCGTTAATTTGTGCGTGTATCGAATTGCAGCTCTATTAGGATCATTGTCATTTGAGTGTAGTTAGATGGACGATTTCCTAATTAACTAAATCAGTACTAAATCGAAGCCACGTTGTAAATTAGCTAAAATTTGAGAAAAAATGGTTTGAATACACACAAAATACGGGATTATTTGAATAAATAACAGTATCATATCTTCAAAATTGAAGAGGAATAAAGAAGGGTACTGTAGTTTATTTTCCCAAACAGAATAGTTCGAAAAAATATTGTCAAAATCTAGAGTTTAAATAGGATCAATTTTCGACGTGGTTTTCAGAAAAATCAAAAAGTAGTATGAGCGATGCCATGAAAAACTAAAAAATGAAGACAGAATTTTCTTTTGACATTGATTCAATCAGTTTCAGCTTTGCAGATTCACAAAAGAACATGCTTTTTTTTTCGTTTTGGTTCTGCAAACGATTTTCAATTATTTTTTTGTTCACTTTGAAAATGTTTTCTGTGCCAAATGATCGTTTTGATTCTTTCTTTCAAGAGTTGATTTCTACGATATTCTCCTTTAAACCTTTTATTGCTGTGTATTTTCCTCCTATAGTTTTCCCGTTTTCCTTCTTCCTCTTTTTTCGCTTCCCGTTTTTCACTACCTTCAACAGACACTCTCCTATCTGCCTTGATAGCTCAGTTGGGAGAGCGTTAGACTGAAGATCTAAAGGTCACCAGTTCGATCCTGGTTCAGGGCAATTCTTTTTCTGGTTGTGATTAGAAAACATGCAGATCTTTATTTGAATTTTAGGAAAAATACTCGAGGTTGAGATTATTTAAAGTGAGTAATGTGTGGTGTGATTTGAAAGTATAGTGTACGCAAATAATGAGTTTGAAAGATCATTCAACTGGGGATGGAGATCTGGATTTCGAATGAGTCGCAGTGATGGGCCCTGGAACGACGGTCGTGTGTTTTACAGAAGTCTCTATCACATTGATTTTCCAGCGCAAGAATTTCTGAATCATCCGACGAGTGCTTCCAGTTTGGAAGTAGTAAATGATTATGTTCATTGCTGGGATTGACTCTAACCGGATGTAGAAATATAGCTCCCGGTAGATAGGATCGAATGAAGCGAAGAAATTCTAAAAACAACGGGTCAGTAAAAAGCATCTTTCAGATAATCTAACCGGGAAATATTTTACTGCCAGTCCACCAAATTCATAAATCGATAAATAAAATGCAACGATTATAGTCTGTCTCATCATTTCGCGTTCACGCTTCAATTGCATTTTTGACATTGTGTTATCCTGAACAACAGTTGAAACGTTTGATGGAGTTGGATCAGTTCCTGGAAAAAATTTTAATTTTCTTTTTCAAAAATTTAACTCACTTCCAAAAATAAGCTTCTCAATTTTTTCGGTGCATTTGTTCCTGGTCCATTTTACGTGAGCAATGATTCCAAGGTTGATGATCATGCAAATGAGTGGGAGAAGATAGAAGTACTGATTTTGGAACAGTGTGATCTGGAATATACATATTTACAGTACACCAAATTGATTTCTCGAACTCTATCATGCAGAACTTGATGTCCAATAAAATGTTGTCATATTTTAATCAACTTTTAATAGGTTTAGAAACAGTTGGAAAAAATTGAATCTGACGTGAAGTTGCGTGTTTAGAATTCTTCCAGAAAGGAAATTGTGATTTGCTCTGACAATGAGATAGAGAGTCGTGTTTTGTACTTGATCTTTTGAAAAAAATTAAAATACAAAACTCATCTAGGTGAACAGAAAAAAAATGGGCCGAACCGGGGATTGAACCCGGGACCTCTCGCACCCAAAGCGAGAATCATACCACTAGACCATTCGGCCACATTTGGAATTGAAAAGCTTTCTGAACGAAACAGCTGTGACTTTTGGCGGCGAAACGTAAGGATGACAGCCTCATCATACAAAGGAATGACACGGGTCGCGATGTTGACACTTGATTGTCATCCTGACATTGCGCCGAGGAAATTCACAGCTGATGTTTTGTTCAGGAAGCATTTCAATTCCAAATGTGGCCGAATGGTCTAGTGGTATGATTCTCGCTTTGGGTGCGAGAGGTCCCGGGTTCAATCCCCGGTTC